CCCAGTATCCTGAGGAAACAAATGGTGTATGAACCAGTTTTTGGTCACCGGCTACCATGGAACTGCATCTCCTTGTGATGCTCCACTGCCTTGTGGATCAGACCTTTAGGTAGAAGGCCCCATGTTGTAACTACCTAACAAAACTACCTGCTTCGGTTTGGGCACCCGGGGAGTATCACAGCCCTCACACAGATCGAATGAGATTTCTGTGGCTTATATGTATCTGGTGCCTCCTTGTACCAATATCTATGTGTTAAAATAAATAAATAAAATAAGTTAGACTAACTAGTTACGGTCCAGTCATTATTCATAATCTTAAGATAAACGGTGTATGTGCGTGTAAAAAATCCAACATAGTTCATTTTTAAAATAGTAATTACATTTGAGACCCTTCACCAGATATAAGTGAATTCCATCGACTAAAATTATTTATCTCGGTACATATGTCAAATGTAATGGACAAACCTTTAATACCATCCTGGACTTGTGAGTAATAAAACATTTAATTCTAACAATATTTGTTAGTTACCATTTTCAATCATTAAGGAATATTTTTGCCAGTTTCTTTCAAAGTTATACAAATACTCTGCAGCAACAGGGCCCATCCTAACTCCGGATTATGTTTGGATTATAACTAGGTTTATTAATATTATCGATTAGTCTTAGATTGAATACATCTTTACGCTTCATTTACTGTAAAACCTTTCGCGTTGATTTTTAGAGGCGCTGAAAACGCAGCTTAGCTACCCTACGTCCCTTAAATAACGCTAATTATTGCTAAGATAGTGCCACATTTTATCGTTGTAAATTTCGATAAAGCTACCTTGTTTTTTGAATATTGCAATAATCGAAAAAACTTCGGATCTATAAGTTGTAAACTTTGGTAGAACTTGTCTCCATATTTGAGCAGTTCTCAATTTCATTTTAATCTGTATTCATAGCTTCTATTATTTGACTTTTTTTCTGAGACGGTCTCTTTTTCTATATAGAATGTTTTGGAATTAGGTAATTTAAATTCTGAGCGTGATTGGGGATTCGCTGGTGATTATGTTAAGGCTATGTGGCTTATGCTTCAACGTGATACACCGGAGGATTTCGTTATTGCATCTGGGGAAAAGCATTCTGTTCGTGAATTTACCAATTTGGCTTTTGAACATGTTGGAATCCATTTAACGTAAGTACATATATATTTAAGTGTTTCGAATCTTTACTTCTACTCATGTATTCATTTTAGGTGTTTAATACGTGATATAAACTAAGCGATAATCATAAAAATATTTAACATGATATTTCTACACTTCATTGAATTGTCCGCAAAGTTATAGTGATACTTCAGTTTGTTGAACAAATTTTACATCCATGAATTTAAAAAATGATAAGTAATGACAAATCCTCGAGTAAAGGCTCACATAACCTATCTCAAGTCGCTTTATGTACCCAAACCAGATCAGCTGGACAGGAGTTTGGAATCAGTGTATATAAACCTATCAGTTAAAACCACCAACTGACGAAACGAAAATTATTTTAACTTCTAATTTAATGTATGGAATATTTTTCGGTTTGTTCAAATAGAGACGCTTATCAACAAGAAAGAGCATCTTTTCATACTTCTTTTTATTAATTTACAATATACTTTTAGAAATGTTGATTTTTAAGTAAGAAAGGACTCAGGAATCTTGAAACACGCTTTCATGTTTTTTTTTGTTACTATATAGACTTCTATATTTATTGAATCACCATAAATGCAATTGTATAGCATTAGTGTGAAACCCGAGTGTTCAAACTATAGCTTCGGCTTTGAAAACAGTTTCTACAGCGACTACCAGTCTAATGTTAACATTTTCAGGTAGCTTTGATTTCCTATTACTTTTAATTACATCTTTCTCGATATAAGTTCAAAGAGTCGAAGTGCGTTACTTATTTGCTTGTTAATAATATTTAGTAAGTCAACTAGTTATTTTAATAAGGTTATAGTGAATCAAATGAGTAAGATATTCATGGTAGGTTTTTGCTTATTTATTTAGATTCTCCAAACAGTTGAAGTTGCACCATAATTTGAGGTACATCCTTGAAGTTTTGTATTGGTGACATTTGACTTTTAAAACTGTTATTGGGAGTCATATAGTATTTGTATTTTAATGGCCATAATATTTATTTCCGTTGGACTATTTTTCTTGTTTAATCACTCACTTTGAGAGCGTTTTTAAATGCTTGAAATTAATGATTTTTAAACAAAATTAGATGGAAAGGAACCGGTCTTAATGAAGTTGGTGTTGATTCAGAATCAGGAAATGTACTTGTTCGTGTCAATGAACGTTACTTTCGTCCTGCAGAAGTAGTAAGTACAGTATTTCATAGGTGTCAGTTTATTGCTTCTGTTTAGCTAATTTATTATTGCATAGTAAATTTCTGTCTATTTCTACATTAGTTCATTATCTACATATTTGCGAATCGCCATTCAGTAGATTAAATAATAAAATGAATAGTGATTTCGATGTCTGTTCTGTACATTGGACTAAAGGACTCACTTATTTCCATATACAATATCTTCGAAATAAACAGTTTTCTCTTTTTTTTATTATATTCCAAAAAATACAAGCTGACAAATACCTCAGTGTGAATTAGGAGCTATTTAATAAGGATATGTCAAATTAGTAAAACTGGCATTAATCCACATGCAGAGTATTTGTTTGTTAATGCGGTAAGCACTGAAGAGTGATCAACAAATATTGCAGTTTACGTTCCCGTTCGACTGAACACATTGCCTATGAACAGTAACCAGACTTATTCTGATTTAATTGATCTGTGTCTCTGATCATTCAGAGCATAATATAGCTTTCTGAAGGAGTTACATCAATGTCAGATACCTAGCTTCTGTGTTAAAATAAAACAAAAAGGGGAATTCAGCAATCATTCTTTTCTGATGAAGTCAGTGAATTACTTCGATCAGACTCACCTACTAAGACTGAATGTAGAAAAATATTCATTCATGAACTCAGTAAGTAGTTGAAGTGACTTTAAAGAGCGGTTCATCCGGATTTTGATTACTTTAAGGAAAGATACTATTCACTCAAATACTGTCAGCAAAACATGTACGAAGTTTAATTTTTTTTGTAGAAAAAACACTTTCTAGACGAATGTTCTAGTTATAATGCACTCATTAGTAAATTTTTTTCACAGGATCTTTTATTAGGGGATTGCACTCGAGCGAAAGAATTATTGAAATGGGAGCCAACTTGTGGTTTTACAGAACTTGTTAAGCTGATGGTGGATGAAGATATGAAGTTACTGGAGTCCGGTAAAACTCCTGTTTAACTAAACTTCAATATGCTTTTCAATTTGGTCTGAATCTTATTTGTTTGTATGATTTTTTACTATTATATTTCATAAAAATTGTTTTCTATGAATTGTCTTCACTTCGAGTTATTCGATAAAAAAACGTTTTCTCTCGGAAAAGAAACCACAATTAAGACTCATTATATGTATGATCGATTACTGGAATCAGCCAGGTAATTTACTTGTAGATACATCATTGATTTATCGGGAAGATATGTTTTGGAACTTTTTGATGCTATCAGCCTAGCATTCACTTATACCGACCAAAATTCAGTGCTGAATATCGATCACATGATAATAGAAACCATTAGGAATGAATACCATACCATTCGAACAAGTTATTGGTTCTTTAGACTCAGTGGTTTGGTGGGGAATAACATGGCATTTTAACTGATAGGTGCTGGGTCCGAGTAATACTGTGAGCACAAACACTGAGGTATATTTAGTCTCAAATACAGCGACGCGCACTTTTAAAATTCCGTGTGTACTAACAAGTAATACTGTAGTGAACAAGAACACGAGTGGGGACAAAGGAATGCATTTGACACGAAATTACAGAGCATCTCACTAGAATCTGAGAATCATATAGTAAATAGTTAATTTGCAAAATATCAATCCATCGTCTATATCTTACACTTGTTGGTAGAACATGCATCAATCCATCGTTTCAAACTTCACTGTCCCTTTTGCAAATATCAGTCCATTGCCTCAGATTTCATGCATTTCCATACCAATTGCGTTCCGTTTCCGTTTTTTCCTTATCGATCTGCTGAAATACACTCTATACCTGATCACCGTTATATACTATTTATAGGGATATAAGTAACCTACACCACAATACCACTGAATAAAACGATAATGCTATAGATAGAAGCGAAAAGTTCCGGTTTATATCTGAAAGTATAATTCCTATAATATTAAGAAAAGCTAGCTTAAGTGAACATGTAGTTACAGTACATAAAATCTTAAGAGAATATCATTACTTATATTTTACCACAACCTCTCAAGAGTTATTTTTAAGGTAAATAAGTAGGCATGTACTTTCCAGTATAGTTTGACTGTCCGGTTACTACAGTTCACTGTATCTCGAATGTTTTATTTAAAAATGGAAAATATCAAGAAGTATGCCGATTTATGGTATAATGGTTTAAATTACACTGATGGTTATGTTTACATCCAAACTAACTACAGTTACTAGCTACATGTCGTAACTTCTGTATATTCCTTTAAATGCATAAGTTAAGTTTTGAGCGACTCCAACCGTAATATAATAATCTGAAAGTTAAATTAAGTTCACTATACATATTTCTTTGGGTAAACGACCACGTAAAACCAGGATGCATTGGACATCTGTTATGTTTTAATATATGACTCCCTACCGGTGCGCATTTACGATTCATTTAAGCCCCGCCACCAACACCCAACCTTCAAACAACTATATTGAGATAAGAAAACTACATGCTAATTATTGACTGTGAACAGTGATTTCCTTAGTTCATACGAAGAGCCGTGATTAATGGATTCAATAATATCAGACATATCACCTACTGTAATGGACGATTGTCATGAAATATTTTAAACTGAAATAAGAAATGTAAACCATATAATACCAATTCAGTGATCTAATCGTTCTCTGTAGAAAATAAATTAACAAGAGTATATGTCAAGTAAATAATTTGTATCATGAAAATATGAACATCAGTTATTGCTAATAACTAATACCATCGTTTACGCAATAAAATAAACAAGCATTTCTGTTATAATAAACGTTTTAATTAGTTGTCACCGTTTATATTTGTATTTATCGTAATTGAAAAGAAAAAAATAAAGCAATTGTAGTTGACCAAAAATAAAAATTTCTGATTAGAAGAGAAAAATGAATGCACATCTATTAAAATACAAAATCCATAAATTTAGTTAAAATCATATAAACATGACAATATAAAAAAGTGAAGAAAGAAACGATTAAATGTAATTAGGTTGATTACATTCAGACAATTAATAAAGTTCACGAATCAACATGCTATTTAGATGTTGCTGTTTATTTTTTTTGATTTTCTATCCAAGTTCTTATTCTCTAATCATCATTATTTATCAAAATACATCTATAAATAGCAATTAGGTCAACGAAGTACATTGTATTGATGATTGGAACATGAACAGACTGTTCATAAACATGCCTTACGCGTGTGTGTATGTGTTAATATATGTAATTCAACATAGACTAATTATATTTTGAATTCACAATAAGAAATAAACACTCAATTGAAGTAATGGTAAATATTAACATTTGAAACAAACTGTTTTTTTAGTAGAAGAATTGTAACTGTTCTTTTTCATTACTCAATCTAGCAAATTTAGGCTTCAAACAACCAACAATGCGTGTGAGAAATTATTTATTTAATAAGATAAGATATGAATAACAAAAACTGTACTTTCATCATTTATCTGATGATAAACACTTTGTAATCATAGATTTTTATGACTCAGTTTATGTTTATTAATAAAGTAATGATCATTTGGTTGAATCTCACTACTGACAATAAAAATTACTGTGAAATTGTTAGCCATTCATAGAAATGTGAATATAAAAAAAATACTGAAGGAAGGCAACTATAATCTTGTTGCGTTAACGAAATAGTAAATAAGGCATAGACACTTGGCAAAAAACACCGTATTAATCCAAAAGGGACATACATGTATGCGCAGACACACAAATAATTAATATTGAATTCAATCAGAGAAAAAACAACTAGATAGACATAATACATATGTTGTTGCCCACTCATTTTTAAACTCTTATTAAGACACAAAATCAAAAATAAATCATTACAGTTCAGCTGAAGTGACCTCATGTAAACCATGAGCTAACAATGTTGGCGGTAACGTATCGGTTAGTATATTCAATTGATTCAAATAAATATCAGCTAATGATAAATCTGAACTTGGTTTAGGCAAATAGAGAAATAAAGCTGTTGTATTCGGATGACAATGAGACAGAATTAATTGGTTTAAACAGATTATTCTTCTGTTATTATTAATATTATCATCAATATTTTTCAACATTGAATTTTTTTTCATCATTGAACTATCCATATCAACCAGATGTATTTCTGCCTATAAACAAAGAATAACAGTAAGTAAGCAAAAATATGAATCGTCTTTTTTTCTTCAATATGAAAACTAAAGTAAATATACTACAAATTAGAATTATTGAGTGTTGATAACTGCAGATCTAATTTCTTTATTTAACCACATAAACATTGGTACAAAGGTCACCAAAAAACATATACAACACATAAAGTATTTATCACTCAATTTGTATGTGATTTAGGATACTTGCCGGTTGCCAAAACAAAGAGAGATTCCCCGAGTATTTGACATAGAAATCTAATCTACAAGATAGTGAAACAACATTAAGAGGTGCAGTCCCATGATAACTAGTGGACAACAGTCGGTTCATACACAATGAATTCCTTAAGAATCCTTGAGCCCATGTGTGTTATTGGTTTGGAATCAAAGTGTTTCAACTCCACAACGTGGATCCTTCGTATCTAATGTGTAACTAACATAAGCCACTTTTCACTTTAAAAAATGACCTCTGCCAACTAATAAACTACCGATCATGTTAAGCAACAAAATGCATAACCATATTATCGGCCGAATTTCATGTGTATAGACAAAAGTAGAATAAGACAGTATGAATAGTCAGTACCGATGGTGAACATGGGCTCGAGGATTCTGAAGGGACAAATAGCGTATGAACCAATTGTTGGTCACCAGCTTCCATGAGACTGCATCTTCTAACGTTGTGGATGAATTGTGGATTAGATCTTTATTATAACTTGTGGCCTGTTGATGTATACGTAAAGGCATAGCCAATTGGAGAGCAGTGAATTATTGATCGGACCAATGACGCGCAAAACTCGTACGAGCCGTCTAGAGTACTTATCGGTCCTGCTTCCTGCCTAGCCCAGCCAGTTAAATACAGAACACCAATCTCAGCCTCTGCGATATGAATCATTTATTTCAAACATACGGGGTGTATAAAGCAATCAAACAGACCACATCGTACCATATAATAGGAAAAAACATTTGTACAATATTTGGCCAAATTTGAATGTGGGAGGTAGTGAATTGATAGACTGGCAATAATTTAAGAATGGTAAATCGTAGTTCATAAGTCAAAATAAAGCTTATAATAAGAGGGACATGAATATGAGCAGTTTAGTTATTTAACAATTATACGATAAAAATATACGCATAGTATTGGTGCATAAATGGACTCCCGAAGTTACTATTCATTATGCTTATCGGGACATAAGAACATTCAGGTCAAAGGCTCGGGGTGTGGCATCTTAAGAAAACCATCTGCTTTAGTTTGTGCACCCGGATGGTATCACATACCCCACACAAATCAATGATAACTACTACTGGTCTCGTTGTTACTGTGTGGCGCATATGTATTTGGTGCCACCTTGTATGAATGTTTATGCGTTCAAATAAATAAAGAATAATTAATAGACTATTTAGACGTGTCTAATATCAGGAATATATAGTAGAAACTCGAAAATTTGCTGAATTGATTTTTCCAAGAAATTGAACAATAACAGTGATGTTTTTCATGATGAGAGACAATCGACCGTACTATACCATCAATTTTGTCATTTCATCTAATTATGACGAAAGTGATTGTTTATCTTAAACTAAATTTTTAATTAATTACTGTTATTGTTATTATTATCATCATTCATGTTAGTGCTTGACTTTGATACTGTTTACATATTCTGAAAAAAGTTATTATTACTATTATTATTATTATTATTTGTTTTAATTTAGTTCAATACAAATAAAATAGGGTTATATACAATGATTATTGTATTGTACCGATAGAATCTATTGTTAATTTGTAGTTCAAATGGTTTTCTTTGTTGATTTAACAAAAACAAATTAAACGTTTATTTATTCTATTAAATCTTTCAGGTATCTTATAATTAATTTTATTATACAGGATTATTGATTTTATTGACCTGTAATAATAATAATAGCAATAATAATAATAATAATAATTATAATAATTATTATTATTATTATTTAGATTTCAATCCAACTTATATGTTTGTTGTTTTAATATTAAACTGAATTAAAAATACATTTTTAGAAGTATAAACTTTTTATAGGTTTTTTTTTAAAATGAAACTATTTTCAATTGTCAAGTAACCATGGATTCCATGATGATATAAACAATATTTTAAATCATTTAAATGTAAAATGAAAAAAAAGAAAACAGTAGTTTAGTGTTACTTATAGATTTTATTGTTATTATTAGTTGAGAATATCGGAATAAGAATTTTACACAAGTTGTAATTATGATTTATTAAAATAAAACTTGTAAATTAAATATACTACTCAGTCAGTCAGTCAGCTACAACGTAGGACCAGGCACATTTATGCATCGGTCCAAGTTGCCATACCTCATTAACACAACAAGATGAACACCGGATTCATAAAAGTAGTTAATTCAGAGGTGGTAATATATAAAAGAAAGATTGCAATAAGGATGTAGTACAGGAAGAAAGATTTTGTTCGTAGAAAGAAAGATATGAAGCAATTTTAATCTCTTAGTTTAAGGGAAGACAGAAAGTGTATACACCGACGCCATTATGATCGATTCTGAGCCATGTCACCAAGAGTCCCCAACCATTGGTTACGATAGTCACACGGACCCCAACCAAGTAGTCTGCATCTACCAACATGGTTCAGACTAGAAGTTAGTGACTTCAAGCACTGATGCCACGTTTTGGTTTGGCCGCCCCTAACTTTCTTCCAACCATCTCCAATACCGGATAGCATTGCACGTCGTGGTAATCGGTGTTCGGGCATACGTAACACGTGGCCCAACCATCTCAGTCGATGAAGATTCACAACCTCATCGACTGATTTACCATCATTCCCTAATACCCTGCGTCTAACCTCACTATTACTTATCCGGTGATCCCAGCAGACACCAGCAATATTTCTGAGGCATCTGTGGTCAAATACTAATAGCTTACGAGTGTCTTCTACTCTTAAAGGCCATGTTTCGCAGCCGTTAAGTAAGACGGAACGGACTGCCGCGTAGTATACTCGTCCTTTTATTGATAGACGGATATCTCGCCTTCGCCATAGGCGAGATATATATACTGCTGGGTTGTAATTTGTTTGCAGAAAAGTTACAAAAGTAATAATTATCTATTTTATGAAATTATACTGATGTATTGATTTGGGATAATCATAATAATAGTAATAATAAAAGGTATATGCCATAAACAGTTCAGCTTTAGAAGAACAAAACTAACTACGCAAAGAATCTGCATACAAATAATAGAAAAATTTGTCAACAATTATTCTACTGAAAAATATGTTTCAAAGATTGAAAATATCTTAATTGTTTACTTTACTTTTTAAAATACAGAAAAATTTAATTATTAGCTTACTTATACATATTAATAAACAGATCGGTATTGGCATAATTAATGCAAGCTAAACAAATTACCAGCATAAGTCAACCATACATAATAGTTTATCAGGTTAATAATTTTCTACTAAAATATGTTTAACTCAAAGTCTTCTAAATGACAGAAGCAATAACCATTTACATTAAAAAAAACCGGAGTAATATGTGTAAAATATATTTCATTTTAAATTCACTTGGTGTTGTTTTACTTGTATATCTTCTCGTTGTTATTTAGGACCGCAATCGATCAGTCTCATGTTGGCATATGTACATCCAGTGCGGATTGCTTCGATATAGCCTTAAGTCACAAGCTTTTATAAGCAAAGATGGATAGTTGCTAGCAGTGGATTTGAGGACGCTCGTTCCGTTTCATTTTTGCTTAAAAAGTTTGTGACTTATATTTTATCTTATTTGACAGAAAATTCTAAATTCATAGACAATAATTTTTAAATGATATGCTTTGACTTAAACCTGGTCACTATTTGGATTATTAATTTCGATAAGTATTTGTAGAACTTGAAGAGATTGGTGATTAGTTGGAATTCATAATCAACCATGAATGTCTACGATCAGTTTTTCCCCCTATGATTAATATCCTTTTGCGCATACTATATTTCATGTATAAATTCTGTAGTAATCATCTAGCGTTTCTCTCTTAAATAGATGGAAGTATGAGAAAATATGCGAACCATCGTGGAGGTATACCTCTCAGAGTTTCTCATTGATATATCGTAGTATGCTGTAAGCATTCTATGAAAGTGTGTTAGTACGTGTGGTTATCAAATATGTTTAGTTAATCATATTAAATATATAAAAAGAAAATTTAAGATAATAAATATACATTTGGAGAGAATGTAGTCTAGAAATTTGAACAAGATGCGGTTACAGACTTCATAGCTTATTAGATTAAATAAGATACAAAATATATTTTGAATTGAAATTTTATGAATCTCTAAAAGCTAAGTTTGATGTTGAAATAATGAATATTACAAATTTCAACTTAATTGTTCATTATATAACTGATATAATAATAATCATTTAATAAAAAATTATCACCTTGTAATGTGTACTTTAATTTGAGCGGCTTAAATACTCAACAGTAAAATACAGAATGGTTTGTTGACTATTTTTTTATAGCTATGTTGTTATTAATTTTTTTTTAAATTCATCGTCTTTCAATATCTTTCGATGTATCAAACAGATTAAATGGTATTCTTTTAATGCATATTTATAAAACCTAATCACTTTCAAAATGAACTTAACAAATGGAGATAGTGTTACAAGAAACTAGGTACTTTGTAGTAAGATATAAAATACAAAACCATTAAACGAAATTCTAATAAAATATTAGGTTAATATATATCCTGGAGAAAAAATCATGCTATCTATGGTCAGCAATTGAACAAAAAATTAGTTCAATTTTTAATTCCTTCCATTGTACTAGTATTACGCTCAATAAATCGATCCGAAACAATATTCTAAGATACATATATGGTTATCATCAAAATAAATAACGCGACTGAACTTATAACGATTCACCAAAGAGTAGAATTTGAAAACTTAATGATACTACATTAAAATCATGTTACCAGAAAAGTTATGACTGCAATTCACTTGTAGATGTTAAAGTTAACAAGTATGTGAATACCAATTAACAAATATCATAAAATTGTTGATTTTGTACCATAAAATAAAAGTATGAACGTTCCATAACATTTCTGAGTCATGATATGTGGTAATGAAAGTAAAATATGGTTGGTCACTGAGTGTCGACAAACAGGCACTTAATCTGCTGACTATTATATAAAAGATTTCCTTTCCTCTAAATGATTTCTTCTCTGAATACACACTATGTGACTGCTTATAACTGTGTAAAATAAAGTATTATCTAGTGCTAATCCGGTTCTCTGTTCTGGGTCATGAATCATGGATCTGATATAACGCGACTAGTCTCATTATTATATTAACGTATCATCGAAATATACCTGAGTGACAGAAAAATGTTTTCAACCATCCGTTACATCAAGTTAAATATATCAAAAACTAGAAAATGCAAAACAAATCAAATTACAAACACTTCGGTTAACCATTTCAGAAAAAAAATTTGTCAGATCATATAAACTGCTAATCGATTACTGAACCAAAAGGGTTAAACGCAAAACCACTCAAATCAATTTTCAAAAAAATCATAACATCAGGACACTGAATGAAGCGATTAGCTCGAAATACATTATAAGATACAAACTGTTTGTGTTGAACTAAAAATACTTCACAAATATTTACTTATAAAACAACTTGTTGACTTACAGGAATTCGTAAATTTTTCAACAAAGTTGATAATTGAGAACGTGCTTTGTCAGTTACGGTAACAACCTCTCCATTAGGTGGATTCATTGTACGTAACTGTGGAAAAAATGCACGTAGTTTTGGTGGATGACGACGTTTACGCCAATAGGGTGATCTAGCGACTAAACAGGCAAGTTGTAAGAGGAAAAGACCAGTACGATCAATCACTTGCTTGTAAATTTCTTCGTGTGATGAAGATGATGGTAGATTTAAATTCTCACCATAAAATCCAAGAAGATTAATTGGCCATATATCAAAGAATATAACTTTTGAAGTGTCTACTATATATGGATTATTCTCAGACATTGAATTAGTAACATCCATCACTGTACCTGCATCATAACCATTATTATAATTTGAATTTAACCGTTGTGAACGGTTATTTGTATGAAAAATATTACGGAAATAGCGTCGAGTTGCATCCCAACCAGACATACCTTCATCAAAAATTACTCTGTCGAAATTTCGAGCAAGTACAACATTGGTCTAAAAAATTGGGTAAAAAGGAAACAGAAGATATGGACATGTTAACACATTAAATCTATTTGTTGTAGTTATATATAGATAATAGTAGTTGTTAGCAAACTCAATGATTCTAGTTCATAACAATGTTTCATATGAAAACAGATCACGACCGTTCAAGGTTAGGTATATTAGAAATATAATTCCAATGACCTGTGTTTTTCGAAACATTCATGTGAAAATAGACTTGAAAAAGATTATTAATCTAGTGTATAAATACTAAGGCTAAATAAATGAATAACATAAAGTAGAATAGTCATTTATTTAACCGAAGTATACTTCATGGGATCTTATCATAATACTGTATGATACATTCAAAGATGAATTTCAACAAAATAGTGAAAAGGAAGGTCAAGAAACAACAGATGAGGTTAGCATGTTTTTCATTATCATGCCAAACTAAGAAAGTACTTATAAACCACATCTTCAACTACTAAAAAATGGCAAACAAACAATGTTGACTGAAAATTATCTGTATGCATCTACAAAATTACCGAATTTTTAAGAATATGCACTAATCAAAATATATATTGGACACAGATCTCAACCATTAAAAAACGAAATCGTAGAGCAAATCAAACTTCTATATAAATTATCTAAATATTATCCAGTCACAGTGTATATTGATATACTAAACATTTTAGAATGAGTAATTGATGAAGGTGAGAGAAATAATTATTCTATAGTCAACTTTACACATCGTTTTGATTTCATATGATGACAGATAAGTGAGATGGGCTGTTACTCGCTCAAATCACTATTTCAGTAAGGCCCAAACACATATTTTCAGGTAACAGGCTTAAATTAAAGTTCACTCAATACTTTCAAACTATAGTCAGTGCTAATAATGAATCTGTGAACATAAATGTACGGGCGACATGAAACTTTATTTAATCAATCTACAATACTATTTCAAAACTAAAAACTCCCTAGACAAATACAAAAAAATAATCTAATACATGGTTGGAATAAAAATAAACAATATATATATTAATAAGTAAATGGTATTATTACTAATTTAAATGTCAAATCGCCGTGAACTGTTATGTGTTTAGCTACTTAGATAATTCAGTAGTATAGAATTTATTTAAAAAGAAAAAACGACTATTGACAAAAAGATAAGTTACCTCCATATTGAGAATTTCTCGAATAATGCTGACATATTCCTGCGAGGTAAGACGACCAGAACGATGGTCACCATAAAATTGATTATCTGTATTATTCTGATTGACAAAAATAGAATTTGAATCCTGATTCGGAACTGAACCGAAATTAGCTAATAGTTCACTGCTGCTTAAATAAGCTAAAAAAAAGTGTTTCATTCGAAAGACATAAAAATAACAACCGTTTATTCAGTAAAAGATGAATAGCTGAGTAAAAAATTGTGAAAAGCACATCTGCATAATCTTAGCCTAATGTACGTGCTTTACAGGATTGTGAAGATTACGATTATTTGAAGATAGATTTCACGACATATGCAAATCATTGAACATATCAATGTTAAATCGCCATTGGAAACCTGGATTCACAACACAGCCTTTTCGTCCTAGTATCGGACTTCTCAGCAGTGCGAATGCAACATCCCGCAAGCAAGAATTTAACCTAACACCTCAAAAACTGGGCAGAAACACCTAGCTTCTGGACCATTGTTCTGGGATTCGACGGTGTTAATATCTAGCTGCAATCAATCGACGATATTGCCTGACTATTTTCGATTGTCGTCGGCAGATAACTCCCTCACACTTGACACGTTTGAATTCCACTGATCACCGCTTCTTACTAGAACACCCTGAAATTTAATCTCGAAGCTAGTCACTAGTAAGCACATGAGGAGCGTCATACTAGGACGAAATGGTCGCCCCGCGCTTCCACATTTTCAATGGTGGTCTAATTTTGACTGGTTCATGATTCCAATGACACTCAACAGCCCAATACGGACATCATGTAAATCAGTTGGTTATACGTTGTCAGAATTCCACAGTTTTTGATGGCTGAGTACGATGAAATTCTTGACAAAAGCCGTTTTCTAATGAATTATTGAATTCAGTTATATTTACAGAAAATCATTCAAACCACTGACTCAAAATAATTCTCTAACATCTGCAATAATAATTCTCGTATTTTAGTTAACGCCTAATATTATTTAATGTTAAAAAGAAGCGACAGAGATAAGCTTAAACAAAACAGAAAGGGAAATTTTGAAATCGCTAGTACTAATAAAGTAGTAAACGAAGTCTTGTTGGGAGAAACCAATCTATGGTATCATGCAAAATTAAACAGTCCCTTCATAAAATCTGAACACGATCGATTGAATAGATTATTTTCACATTTCTCTTCAGTCGTCCTTTACACACTTCATGATTTTTCCAATTGCTCTCTGTTCCCCTTTCTGTTTTTCTCTACTTAAACATGCTGGCAAGCATCCCACTTCCGATTTCAGTTACACACTACTTATATCTATCAGCATAAGTAGCATACACCACACTACTACAACTACTGCAAAAGCTTGCAGAAGTTATCAGATTTAACTGGCATTTTTCTCTAAAAATGGCGCACGGGGTATTAAGGTTTCACGGACCTGAAAGTAGGCTTTGTGGGAGTTTTGTTCGTGAAAAGAAGTTACGCAAACTGATATTTATGGAATCCATTTTTAATCGACTGATAAGCATCAAAGACGTAACGAAGTTTGCGTTTATAGAAATTTCGAGAGGTTTCATTAGAAATAATATCACTTCAATGAAAAACTTGAAATTTTAAGCGGTTCCCTTAGAAAATGGAGATGTACGACAGATAACTAACTACTTTCCTACAACTACACAAACTAAAGAAACACATTATTTCTCAAACAAACATAAAACGTAGCAATACATATTTAAGCATATTATCTCACCATTTGTCGTTTGGGCATCATTATTATTAATGATTAATTCCGTGGAATTATATGAATGAATATGATTTGGCCATGAACTGAATTTTTTTACTTTACGTTCTTTCCAAATCCTAGCTAAAACATCCTGTAAGAGAAAATACTGATCAATAATCTACATGAAATATCACTATAAGAAAGGTTATCAGTTTTTATACGTAATAAATTGGAAAATTATTCGTTACTTAGGAAACTGACCATCCAAGACAATGAAAATTTATTCCGTCATCGCTGAACTACACTGTATTTGTAAAAGAGGACTACGAAACAAATCAAAGCCGAGGCAGGTGTCATGATTTTTAAACCTGTAACCTGGTGATTAACTAACTGATTGAGTATTTTAATTACTAAATTCACTACGTAAACGAATGTTGATGAAGTAATCTAATAAAGAAAATGTTAGAAGTATCACAAGATATCTCGAAAGATCATGCCTTGAAATATTGTCATCTAAAGGATGCTAAACAGATAATTTGAGATCTATTAATATTTCACTACTAAGACATACCAAATATGGTCAGTTATATGCAGTGCAGAATCTGATGTATGTGCACATCGGTCCAAGTTGCTGAATTCCATTACATAGTGAGATCAAACAGTCCAGAAATATTCCGGGGTACTAGGGATAGTAACACTAATAGTAGTAGTAAAAATGAATTGGCATATTTAACTGCTAACAGACCACTCATCATTAATCAAACTAGTAAAAACTATGCTGAATATCATTTTGTTTTTTTGCACAAATATGAACAAATTATCTGAAGTAATACTGTAAAAAGTGCCGTACCAATAAATAATGTAAGTTATGAGACATGAAGAATGAATAAAGCAGAAAAAAATAATACTTACGATTGACGGCTTATCATCATAAAATCCCAAGCACACTGTATTTGGACGCATTGCACCTAAACCAGAAATTCGAATAAGATGTGATATCGCTCTGCGTACACTTCGGTCAATTGTTATTTCTACAAATGCTTTAGTTTTCAAATATTTCACATATTGTGTCCAATACCTGTACGTAAAAATGACACAATTTAACAAACCATTTAAATTATAATTTAAAATGTTCAAACAAAATAAAAATGACTAGTGATTATCTTTGGAAAAAAATATCAACAACGTCATGATAAATATAGAAATCATATTTAAGATGGAGAGACTAATTGGATGGAGATGGAGACTAATTGTGTGGACAGACATAAGTGGTATGTAACAATAGAAGTAGAATGCTTACCAGAAGAAGAGTGAAATAAAAAGAAGAGAAAACGAATAGCAAACAGAATAAAAAAACAGGATCGGAAGAATGACTAAATGTGTAAGAAAAAAACTGAAGGAAGATAAATGAATGATCTATCGAATGCATGATCTGCATATTTTACAAAACTACTGTTTGATTTTGTGTCAAACAATAAATTCGTTTACTGTACCTGAGTTTTTTTTAATTCAATACAAAGTCACACACACTAGGCATCAATTTAAATTTTTATCGAGAATCAAAATTATAGGCTATTAATTCTGATGGAAGCACTCTAAAGAAATAAATGGGATTGCTCATATGTACTAAAAAGACAATAAATTAGTTAGCAATGGAATACAGGATGAGCGTTTCGTCCGATTTGGGACTCGGTATCTGGATGATCATGCATCCCAGAGTTGATGTTCACTTCAGAAATCGAAACCAGAAACGTCCGCTTCAAATGATAACGCGGTATCTAGTTTTAGCTACTGAGTTCAGATATACACTCACTCGTGAAACGGCTATGAGATTGAAATTATTTTGAAACAACTTGAATCATCACGTTATTGATATTTTTATCGAAATTTGGTTTACATTGGTTGACATATGGAGATCATGTGCGGCTTGCTTCGATATAGCCATTACCAAACAACATAATATAAAATAGATAGATTCGAGTGAAATCTAACTCTGGGAGGTAAGTATATTCCGATGACTAAACCCATGAAGAAATGTACGTCCTAGATCCCAAGACAAGCAACATTCCATCTATTCTATCCCAACTTGTATCATAATGGATCCACGGAGGCAATCGTCACAGGATACCCGTATGCTGACCGATGCGGACGAAATTCCAACCACAACATCAACAATGGAACTATTCAAATAATTTTAAACCGAATTATTTAGTCCAAAAATGATAATGCAATAAGGAATAACTTCGCAACTAACATCAAAGTCAGAATCTTCAATTCGAACGTCAAGACAGTCGTACTGTACAGAGCTGAAACTTCGAGAACTACTACAATGATTATTAAAAAAGTACGAGAATTTATAAACACATGTTTACGTAGGATACTCAGTGTCCGTTGACCGGATACCACCAGCAACAGCCTTATGTGGGAGAGAAAAAACCAGCTTGTAACTGAAGAGGAAGCTATGAGAAGAAATTGGAGGTGGATAGAACATACATTACGGAAATCACGACGCTGACAAGCGCTATCTTGGAATCCGGAAGGGAAACGGGAAAGAGGAAAGGCAAAGAACACATTGCGCGGGGAACTGGGAGTAGACATCAAAAGAATGGATAGTACTTGGAAACAAATGGAAAGGATTGTCTAGGAAAGAGTCGGATGGGGAATAATGGTGGGTGACCTATGCTTCTACACGAGAAGTAACAAGCATGAGCAAGTAATAAATTTACAAAGTGATATGTGTGATCATTTCAGAAGTAAGTTGCATCAAAGTTGAGACCTTTGAAATTTATTTCAACTTATGTAATACACTTTCTTGCTCCATTATAAGCTCACTTACCAACGCTGATTTAGACATGGATCCGATTGGTCGACGAACTCATCTGGATCACCACAAATTGCATGACCAACTACATAAAGACCACCTTTTTTCAAACTATTCATAAATTGAACAAGTGAGGCTGACGAACGTGGATTTGCAACAAGTAACAGTAATTGGAGTCTCCAGTATTTAACATGATCTTTACGGGAATCCAACAATAATAAATATTTACGGATCTATAAAAATAAATTTTATGAGTATTATAAACTGAATCATCATTTAAAAAAGGGAAAGAAAAGCGGCGGTGATTATATGATTTATGAATTGACCTCAACTAGAAAAGCTTATTGCATAACGCCTAATTGATAAGAAATCAATGAAGAAACAACGCGGTTAACTGGATCAGTCAGTCAGTCAGTAACAACGCAGAACTTCATACGTACGTACATCAGTTCGAGTTGACACACCACATTAGCACAGAGATGCAGTTGTCGTAACAAATCCCGTAGTGGTAGAGGTAGCAAGAGTATAAGCAGTAATCGGGAAGATTAGGGTTTGAAGATGTTATTTAAAGAGTATAATCCAGTGAAATAAATTTGGAAAGAGGAAAAAAGGCACATGAAGAATTCAGAAGATTAGAATTTGGGAGAACACAAAGAGTGGATGCACCTGCGCCATTGCAAACGATTTTGAGCCATGTCACTCAGGGTCTCTAACCATCGGTTGCTACCATCTCGCGGTCCCCAACCAGGTAGTCTACACCTACCAACATGGCTCATTCCACTTGTCAGTGACTTCATGGACATGTGCCATGTTTTGGTTTGGCCGCCCCTAACTTTCTTCCAACTTACTCCTATACCACTGAACACAGCACGTCGAGGTAGTCGGTCGTTGGGCATACGTAACACGTGTCCCAGCCATCTCAACTGATGAAGTTTCATTACTTCATCAGTTGATTTGCCATCCTTACCTAGTACCCGTTTCCTAACAACTGTATTACTTACTCGATAGTCCCAGGATATACGAGCAATGTTTCGGAGACACCTATGATCGAATACTAGTAACCTACGGATATCCTCTACTCTTACCGGCCATGTTTCACTGCCATAAAGTGGGACGGGACGAACTGCTGCGCAGTCAACACGTCCTTTGGTTGATAGACGGATATCTCGCCTACGCCATAAATAAAGCAAGTTGGCAAAAGCTAGTCGAGCCTTCTCTATCCGTGCTGAGATTTCGTCACACACCGGACCACAAGGGCTGATGAGACTTCCAAGATAAGTGAAGCGGTCTACACACTCAACTACTTCACTCCCGATCACTAGTTCGGGTGTCGATGTAACCCAATCCTGAAGCAACATTTTGCATTTCGAGGGAGAGAATCGCATCCCGAACATGTTTGCATTGTTGCTTAGAGTGGTCAGAAGACTCTGCTTTTTGTCAGCGTCTTCACCAAATAAAACTATGTCATCAGCATATTCTAAGTCAACAAGTGAACCTCCCGGTAGAAGTTCAACCCCAGGAAATTTAGATGAGGAGAGTGTTATCTCTAAAAGTATGTCGACCACAAAGTTGAACAAGAATGGGGAGAGTGGACAGCCATGACGAACACCACTTGAGGTAATCAATTCTGATGACAGTTCACCATAAGCTCTCACTCTACCAGTTGTGTTCGAGTAGAGAGCCTTTATAAGGTTAATGTAATTCTTTGGTACTCCTTTCAGTGACAAACACTGCCATAGAACCTCACGATCAACAGACTCGAATGCCGCCTTAAGGTCGAGAAATACTACCATTGTGGGGTGTCTGAATGTGTGTCTGTGTTCTAGAACCTGACGTAGTGTGAATATCTGATCTATACAACCACGTCCAGGTCGAAAACCAGCCTGGTTTTCTCTAATCTGCTCTTCACGAGCTTTGATTAGGCGTCGAAGTATTATTGAAGCTAATATTTTAGACACTATATTAGTCAAACTGATTCCTCTGTGATTGTCACAAGAGGACTTTTGTCCTTTCTTATAGACTGGCACAATCAGTGATTGAGACCAGTCAGATGGGATTACGTCCAGTTCCCAAATTCTACCTAAGACCTCGGTTAATCTCATTGCTAATACTGGACCACCATCCTTAAAAATCTCAGGAGTAAACCTGTCAGGGCCTGTTGCTCTCCCTCGTTTAAGATTTCCTATGGCTTTTTCAACTTCGTAAAGGGACAGAGGACCTACATTAACTTGCCATTCAGGTTGACTAGAGATCGTGGGAAACCGAAGTGTGGCTGAATGTCAGTTGAACTGATTCCTAAAACGTTCTGCCCATCGATCCAATCTCCTGGATTGAGAATGAATAATATGTCCATCTTTCTCTGAGATTGTTTCGCTAATAGTCGGTTTCCTAATACCGGTTTCTTTAACGAGTCTGAACAATTGTTTGCTATTACCTATTGCCGCTGCCTTTTCCATCTCTCTTGCTTTCGCTACCCATCCCTGTTCGCGATCATTGCGTAGACTTCTTGTCAGCTTGCGCTTAAGCTGACTCCGCTCTTCATTATGTTCAGAGCCAGGTGGAATGAGTTTCCGAGCATCTATCAGTGCGATAGATGCTGCTGAGATCCAGTGTTGCTCCCTAACCTTCTGGTTTACCTTACTAGCAGATATCACTGCTGTTTCCACAGCTTTTCGGATATCATTCGATGTTGCATCGGGGTGGGCATCACATACATGGCTGCCTAACTGTTTTCCTAGTTGTTCCTGAAATATACTCTTAGCTTGACTATCACTAAGTAGGCCCCTAAGAGGTTTCCTTGCAGCATCTTTCCTACGTCCAGTAAGACGCAAGCAAATACGCGCTCGCACTAGAGCATGATCTGAATCTAAGCATATGCTCCAGAATGAGCGACAGTCTTCTATCGAGCCCCTCCATCGGTGGCTGATGGCGATGTGATCTATTTGGGTCCAACGTTAGGACGAATTAGGTTAACTGGATAATACTAGTTAATAAGCTTTTACAAATACAGTTAGGAAATTATGGTAGCTGTTTGTGTTATTGCTATTAAAAATTCGGTAAATTTTTCTCTTTTGCTTTGCTTTTGTCCCTGATGTGTTAATAACTATTGGGTGTTGCGTTTTAATCAACTAGAAGAGTACATTGTAAATGTCTCGAAACCAAATAGATTGATTTAGTGAATACTTTTTTTTAACCCAATTATAATAAAACGAGCTAGACATTAACACTGTTAGATGCCGACTCAGTGGTCTAGAGGATAAGCGTTCGCGCAAAAACAGGTCTTGTATTGAAATCCCACATATGGGATCGCAGATGAACACTTGAGAAGTCCCATATAGAGACAAAAAGACCATTCAGTGCATCGACGAGTTCATGATCATAAAAAAGCTTAATAATATGCACAACCCTATACTGATAATAAATCAAATCACTGAAAATTGTTGTGGGAGAACACTTTAAAACGTAATATTTATGTAGTCATATTTTACAGAATTTCCTCAATACAAAAAAACACAGTTTCTAATAATTAATCTATACGACATCACACTACAAATTCATGAAGCGAATATTGAATGCTCTATAAATTGAATGACTGTTCAAAAGGTTACAGAATTAAACTGACATACTCAATCCATAAAATACTTATAAACTTAGAAAGATATGCAAACAAAAACTTTCATTTTCACTAAATTAAAATCGAATGATCTTTTTTAACATTAAAAACATTTACTTGATGAAATAGAAGCGCTTGTCCAATATTACCCCATGACGATTCTAAATGCCGCTGATATAATGAAAATACAAGTAGACCTAAAACAATAATTGCGACTACCGTATAAATTGGTTGAATTAATAAACACATAATGAAACAACCAATCATTCCCAAAATTGAAGTGATCCAGTTAAAATAACGAAATGTTGGTCTGACAAAGTGAAATGTAAACAAAACAAAAAGACAATACGATAACTGGTATGGAAAATTACATATACTGACGAAATGAATCTATTTCATTTTCTCATGAAATTTAAATACAATTTTTAGATGAAAATATTTTATTTTTTGCCAAGTAATTCGGTGCAGATAAATGATGTTTCTTTCTTCGCAATATTAGATCTATTCTTAACATAAAATCATTTCCCAGACAATTTTATAACTAGTTTTCCTTATTAATCACTGAAAGAACTTAAAAGGTTACATCTTTATCGTAACTATTTTTAGGATCATAAGACTAAGAGAAAACATTTTCAACCTGTTAGGTATTTATTATAGGCTTGCAGAGCGATCACGGTTGTAAATTGATTCCACTTTATATTTGCAGGTAACAAATTGAATGAACACACATTAATACTCTAGTGAACAGAGGACAGGTGGGGACAATCGAATGTGTTTAACACAAAACTACAGGACTTGTTAGTAAAATATAACAATCATAAAGTAAATGCTTAGTTCGCAAAATGTCCATCGATTGTCTCAAAATGACTCAGACTTCATTGTTCTTGAATTTTCGTACAAATTGCATTTTGTTCCCATTCTTTACTGTTCTGTCCTCTTGTCTCTCTGCTGTCAGACATTCTGTTCCTGACTAACGTCATATACTACTTATGTCGATATAAGTAGCACACACCACAATACCAATACCATAAACTACATTCACTACCTCGAAATCGGTATTATAGATTGACATAATTTTCATCGTAATCGAGTCGGTTAAAATGTTATGAAGAATGTAGATCACCATTGAGAAATATATTAATGCATAGTTATTTGACAAACTGCAAAGCAAAATGAAAAAGTTTTTATTCTTATTCATTTAATAAATTCCGAATCAATATTTCTTGTATATTAGTAATTATTATGAAGGTATCACATAAATTCTTCGGTTACACTAAGGAAAATCTATTTTTTTCTCAAATGCCACAGTAAAAAGAGACTTTAATTATGATTTGTTAAAAGATATGTTTAATTTTGGATCAACAAATGCTTTTTGGTGATTCAAGAATCACAATATTAGTCTTTCAACGAATAGCTGACACGTTTAAAGCACCTTTCATTTACTTCAGTTTAGGCAATTAGGTAGTATCGTTAGCTCTCACATCTGGATTGTGATTCTAAGTTCAATAAATCAACTTGTATTTGTTGAATATCAATTTTAATATATGACATTTGGAAAATATGAAACAGTGAAATAATGGTGAAGATACCTGCAGGCTATAATCCCATTTTATTACAGAGAATCATGTGGTACCCATTAGGCCTCATGAGAAGTTTCTCAAACTTAAATATATAAATCTGTACTTGATAAATGTAATATATTGACTAAAATCATCAAGAGTATATTGTATGGCGTCCTGTAAATCAAATAAATATGCAATATCGGAGGAAACTACCAATTACATCAGTTATTTTGCGAAAATAAACTTTAAGTCTAAGTTTCAAATCACAAACGCAACGGTTAACATAAAGTGACGTTGAAATCATGATAAAACGTAAACAGAACACTATACTTTAACAGATTAACCTGAAATTTGGTGGTGAGGCAGCATCTAAACCAGCACAGGCCAAATTCACCGAAGCATAAGCCAGTAAAAATAGAACAGATACAAGTGGAGCGATAGCATTTAATCTACCAATCAGTAAAATTAACTATATTTTCACCAAACAAAAACAAGAACAAACAAAAAGTGTATATCATAATTGATTTCTGATAAAATTCAGAAGAAATAAAAAAGTGAATAATAATAAACAATAGGAATTAAAATCATCCTTAAGTGAAAAATTGTGTTATTTAAATAATTAAAAAAGTAATCTATTCCAAATTACTTATTAAATTAACATCAAAGGTACTAAGTAGGGAACATTATTCATAAGAAAACTAAGATTGTCAGAATTATGTGATTTATCAGAGTAATAAATTTCAAAAACTCTGATCCCAAACTCTATCGACATAGTGGGAAACAACTCGTAAGATTGACCATAACTTGGTTTTTGTAGTGTTGTACAAAATTGTTAAAGGGCATTTACTGAAGCCTTGACCATACGAAAATTCAAACCCCTTTATACATTCAAAAACACTTTGTTCTCACCTTAAACCTACTCTGCTAATGTTAGTTTATTATCCAGAGTGATGTTTCATATTATTTTCTTTATTATCTTTGTCTCCTCCTCCCTCCCATTTTTAGTCTGAACGACTTCCTATTTTTATGTATAAATGTTCTTAACATGTGTATGTGATCGGATTGTTCGAAGTGTAATGCACAAATATATATAATCCTTGTTTTCTTATTACACTAACCAAATTTATCAAAGGGACTAATTGCTTTATTCATGTTGTTGAGATCGTTCAAAACATAACCTGTATGATAAATTTATTAGAGATCCAATTGAAGTCACTTGTATTGATTTAACAGAACCTTAAAGATGATCCTAACATTTTAAACCAGTATTAAGGCTTAAAGTCATAAAAAATACATTAAAAAATAAATAGGAAATTCATATCATATTGTTGATATATTTCTTGTAATGATGAACTTTGTACAAAAATCATATTCGCTTAGTTTCAGTTTTAATGTCAACGATAAGAAAAAGTAAACAATTATTTTCGAAATCTACTTTAATGTTTATAAATGGCTGTCAATAAAATACTGTATATATACAACAGAATAGAAATTTCTATTATTTGATTGATTCATTTTAAACTAGTACCATTTACCGACATAGCCCTCTCATCGTTCTTAATGTTACTTATCTTTCTTTTAAATAAATACTCAATTCAAAAGTATTATTTCTGAATAGATAATCGAAACTAGAGTCCCAACCATCAAAGACAAATATTTCTTTACTCATTTGATGTACAGACTGTGCTATTAAGATATTCATGCCAATTAATGATACGATACAAGAAAAAAACTACCAGGAACACAATAAAACGTCAATCAATACTGAATAGATTTTGTGTGTGATTCAATGAATGAAAAAAAGAAAGATAGCAAGCTAATATTTCTTGTGTATTCCCCATTTGAAGAGAAATTATTTCAATAAGCGTTCGTGAAGTACATACTTGGTTTCCTTAAATAAAATTACCGGTGACAGAGCCTGATTAAAGAAAGTACCTATTATTTACAAGTAAAATATGTATTAAGATTATCGAAAAAATCTCAGTTACCTACCATTTGAAGTTATTGGTATAATCGTATTGAAAAATATCGTAAAAACTTTGGAAACCTAACCAATACGTTACAAAATCTTGTAACGTTTAAAAAAGATAAACAGATTCAGTATACACTTTACAGAAAGAATAAACGGATAGTATAAGCTAAAGTATGATTTTAAAAATTCTAGAAATTCATAAGAAAACAACTAGTGCCTTATAATTACAAATACTAATAAACATCTACTTCCAACAATTCACAAATGAATAAACAGTGCAGAATAATCAACTAACTCACCAAACAAAGAAACCCAGCAGAAAGGACTGCCACTATCGGATTTCCACGTTTTGTGGTCCATTTTGCTGGATGGAGAAGTCGACCTATTCAAAGCAAAAAGTCAATTATTATACTACATAATCGGCATGTGTTATGTGGTAATATTTTGTCCGACTGACTTCTGGATCTTGGAATCTTGAATGAAATATGACTTTTAAAAATATACTGAAATATTATTGAAAAAAGGCATTAAAATAAAGAAGGCTATGCGTAATGCAGGCCAATAATAAACTTGTCATCGATATGAGATAATATCTCATCGAAAACTATTGACTCACTTCATTCTATTTGTTGCCAAACAATAGAGTGGGATATATAATCATGAAGATAGTTGAATCAACATACATGAATATGATCTCAAGAGATAGCAGTAAAATGAAGACATAAATAAGCAAGTAGTAAAACGATATATTATTGATAAGATTTAATATTTGCAACGATTTATTAAGATTTCACTGACTATATATACAAGAAAATAGAAAAGTTGGAATTCATACAGTGAAAAAAGTTAAACACAGACAATTGTTTGAGTTGATAGGGTTAGCCTCATACAAATTGTTGGCAATTTGGTTTGTGATAAGAATAATTAGCTAGCATGAATGGATATAAAATATCATACTGTGAAATTTATTTTGTTTTAAATCTTTATAAAGCTTTAGGACAAGACGAATTTTCATTTTAACAAAGTAAGTTTGGCCTAACCATCTGTACAGTTTCACGTACTTGACTTTGAGCTGCGCTTCATATGTAAAAACGGAAAACATTACACGGTTGCCAAAACGAGGTCCCGACATTCCATATAAGCACTTATCAACAGCTTTGAAGAAAAACTAGTTATATTTCAATAAATAATATATTTGTAATATCCCAGTGAGTAGAAAAATTAGATTTTCTGACATTTCGTGACTTAGTGTAAGTCACTTCTTCAGAGAATTAATCCAAGTTTAAATAGTACGAAACAATAAGAATCTGAAGTGGCTTACATTAAGTCACGAAACGTTAGAAAATCTAATTTTTCTACTCATCGTGATATTAAAAATATATTATTTATTTATAACAATCTACCCGATGCTCAATTTATTCGAAATTATCAAATCAAACCTTGGTAATGATACCTACAGTAACATTTCATTACATAATACAATATAAAGCGTTATTGATTAATCAAAATTACCAAATAATTCATCACGAGCTATCGCCTCCAATATACGTGAAGCTCCAATAAGATTGCCTAAAGCTGCTGATAATGTAGTGGCAAAAACACCTATTACAACGATTGGTTGCCAAAAACTAATTGATTGCATATATATATTGTTATTTAATAACAGATATCTATGACATAATAAAAAAAAGATAGAACAAGAGCAAATATGAAAAAATGATGCTAGAGACATCCACAAATCAATCAAATAATCAAAGTTGCATCGTTAAATCTAAAGAAAAACAAATAGTATGTTTATGGCACTTTTTACTGAGAAAAAAAATATTTAAAAAAAACTATAGCGTGTATCTTTGATCGAACTTAGATACACTTTAAACGGATGAAATAAAATATTCTCGCCTAATATAATGACATTTTAGTACTTAGCAAAGAAACATAGAGAATAATTTAGTAATCTGATTACAAATAATATAATTCTTTATTAATGAATATTTCAATTCTTAAAGTAATGAACATCATAGTAATTTCAACTAACTACATTTATTACTTTGTATGATGATGAGGAGAAAGCAATGAAATTGAATGAATTGATTGTATTCAGTATTTAAAAAATTATTGCCCTTGCTTTGTTACACGATACATGATCAGTAATCACAGAAATATAAACAGATTTCTAAACCCTGATTTTTTTTATCGATTAATATCTTACTGAGAAAGTTAAATCACTAGTTAACAGTTTACAAAATGAATCATAATACTCGAAAATTATGAAAATATTCAAATATATCTTGGTTCTCTAAGATATTATCATGCATTCCTTAGATGGTATATGCTACTGATGTCGACAGATATAAATATTATGTCAGTCTGTGTTCTCGATCACTACACTTGTAATTACTCATTAGTAGTTCAACACGTTGATGTAAAAAAAGAATAATGCAAAGATCTAGAACTTTTAAAATATGAAGTCAGTTATTTCCAGTGAGAAATAATCACGGTACTATATCTGAAAATTATGAGCAGAGTATAATCATATTGAATAGAAATATTCTAAAACTGAACACATGTGTTTACACTAATATATATGTATGAACGAAGAATATTCTTTTTACTAATATCTCGTCAGGTTCTACAATTATAAATCCAAATTAATAATCCATAAAGTTGGCCAGATTTAAGACAGAGTACATCTTTTAAAATTGTAACTCGTGAATTAAGGATTGTTCTACTTACAAGGAGAAAAGACGGGTCATTAAGAAGAAACGTAAACAAGAAAACTACTTGGACAGGCCAATATATAAACTTTCTTGCTTTTGTTCAGATCAATGCAAAGAACTATTAATGCAGGTAAACTACAATTAATGTCTTGCACACGTTCAATGATCACTCCGAGTTTGAAAGATAAATTGCCTAGACTAGCCACTTTTCTGTATCTATCAATTCAACTGCTCCTGTGGAGCAGATGTTCTGGGAATTTGTCTATTCGGGCTTGTTAGCACCTCTCAGTGTGGTTAAGCAAAGGTGTAGTTAAAACGGTTAACAGCTCCATTTTAGTCCACTTAATTCAGACGAGACATAAAACCAGCAATGTTTCGCAATAATAAATCGTGTCAACAGCAATATACCTAATTCCGTCAGACCAGGAATCCTGCGGACGGCTGAAGCAATTGCTATTCGGATCAAAAAGTCAGAGCTGTGCATCCAAATGAAATACATTCAGCCGCTGCTTTTAGCCTGGCCAACTAATTAATAATCAATTTTATGATATGGTGATGTGATTTGATTAATGTTCATTTTTATGTCCCAAACTTATTTTAACCACGCATCTTACGATTGTAATTATTATTATTATTATTATTACCCTTAATAACCGTTTTGAGAAATTTATTTAGCATCCACCCCTACCTACTATACCTGACCTAAAACATATTATTCTACATATTAAGTAATCTCTCTTTCAGCTCATGTTGACCATATTTATTCTGATCATTTATCTCACAATTTCATTTCGCTCGTAAACTGATTCAAGTTAACATTTGATACTAGTCATCCCAACATTAACGATTTGATTTTATATAACAAATAAGAATTCTTGATTAACATGTTACAATTTTAAATGATGTACTCTGCCTTAAATCTGGCCAACTTTATGGATTATTAATGTGGATTTATAATTGTAGAACCTGATGAGATATTATTGAAAAGAATATTATTTTTTCATATAATTGCGTTTTAATATAATGGGAATTTTTCAGTGATTAAAATATATATGTATAGATAAAGAGATAGATACATCAAACCATTTATCACCATGAAACATATGATGTTATGTAAGTTGACTACAAATTGAATTGAACCAATAACTTAACATCTAACGCAATAGAACTTTAGATGAATACAAAATGAATCTAATTTCCTACCAAAATATGACCAAGTTACAACGACAGACCTGCTTACTTTATGTCAACTGATGCCAGTAATCAGAGTGACATTACCCCCTTTCTTTATTTCGACGAGTTTCCCTTTGTTAAGTGGAAGTACAGTGTTTTGAGTTAATAAAGTACTGTTCAAGACTCTAAATTAAACTACGTCATGATAAATAACCCAAATAACCAGAAATTATGAGTTGTGACAATACTTCTAATGTATAAAAATACAGTCCAGTCGGTCTTCAGGATGCTCATTGAACAAGTAGATCTCAGACTTCATAGTTTACGGTGGTAAATTATTCGTAAAAAGCTGATAGCCAAGTTTACTAACGAGATACCATTGTGGTTGGCTGGATACATCTCTTAAAGATGTTTTAAAAGTGTTGAAAAACACTTAGTTTTAATCAGGTGACTTATGGTTCATATAATCTCTAAGTACTAATGAACAGTTATATGTGCGTGACGACGAAATCCATAAAAATATATTAGTAGATTAAGAATAAAACTGAAAGGTAGTGTATGAGAAACTTGCTTACCGGCTGTTAGAAGAAGCTGAGAATATCATCATAACGAGATAAGTTAACAATGTACAAAGTAAAGCAGATAGAGTTCCCAAAGGGATTGAACGAGAAGGATTCTTTAATTCACCTAAAAAAGTCATATATAAAGAAGATTATGGTAATATACTATGTGCCACATGCAAAAGAGTATTTCTTGTTTTATCTATTTCAATGCTTTTTGAAAGAATCTAGCATTGAAGGATTCAAGCCTTCCTAGTACTTCATACCCTATTCCAATCCATTCAACTTCGGGTAAACGTGACCACTGAAACCAGGAAAAACAACACATCAGTCCCCTTTTAAAAATATAACGACTACTTGTTCAACAGACAATGACGCAAGCCCTAATTACCCTCTTCCATATTACACTGAAAAATTTAACTAGCCTTATCACCAAATTATTTTGCTTCAAAATCACGGCTTAATGAATGAGGTTTAACAAGAAAAACAGCTCAGCTCCCCGACAAGTCAAGGCACAATAAAGGGGCCAGAAATATCATAATCCTTGCAAAATAAATGTGACTCCACATTCTTAGCGTAAAACGTTTCATATGCTTTTACAAAATGGAGCTAAATGTCCGTACGTCTTAATAAATGAAAACAAAATTAAGGCTTTTTAAGGTAAGTAGAACGATAGTTGAGACTGTATAAGTGGCAAGACGTATTCGCTTAATTCATGATAATTATAACAATATGATGTATTTGTCACATATCAATGAGTAGAGAATTGAGTTTCTTCAAAAAATAGTGATGTTGTGGATTGCAGCTCAAGTCATGAAGTCCACTGCTAGTGACTTTCGAAGAGCATTGTTCGCAATCTAAGTTACATTTCATTCATTGCTAAAATTATTTGAAATTATCAGGTCGAAATTAGGTAGTGATATTGACTAAATGCAATCAAACGTGTTCAACAAGGATCGGTTAACCAAATTATTCTTTCATCACATTTTCCATCTTCATCCTTTATCCGCTTAGAACTGTAAGAGGACTTTTACTATTAATCTTTATGGGAGAAATATATTTTCAAAGTATTCACTATTTCTATTTATTGGGACGGCTTTCGATGGGCATGATGGAGCTTCCAGAGGCCTTAAAGGAGCCGAAGAGTTTCCACGCAATCACAACCTGATAGGGCTTTCTAGAATATTAACATGGCATACTACGATCGGACGGTAGTATAACTTGCCTCCTTGCGGGTTGGTTGAATTATAACGATGTTATAGCCAACGCTAGCAACCATAAATACACATGTTTTCCTGCACATTTTTGAATCTTACCCAATAATCACTCATCCTGCTTCTTCTGTCTTCTGATTTGCCACTGTGAGGTTCTACACGTTTGATTGCCGTCAATAATATATCGTGTTCTGCGTTAATTAAGTAAAAGACTCAACAATATTATTATTGGTTGTTCAACAAATCTACTCTACAAATGACATCAACTAATGAATACCCTGCACAGGCCGAACCCCATCTTAGCAACTTAACGATTAAATGAAACATAATAATGATAGTCTGTGCTTACACTTTATATGATACCACATATTCCAAAAATACAAGAGAGTATGCCTCAATTGTTTCTGGGATTCATATGTTAAAGCGCGTAACTCGCTACAGCAAGCAACTTTCCAAATCTGATTACCGACTTATTTCGATGAGCCAGCTCACACTATGATTCATAAAGATGTGCGATATGATTTTATCTGAGCTTACCCATGACAAATGCACTCGAATATCATATCTCTACTCACAAAACATTTTATGTATTCCGTTTTATTATAGAGATGCAACAATCGTCCGTAAATCTCACACTTCAAAGTTTGCAATTTTATTCACGATTTGGAGTAATTTTTAATTATAGTTACGTATTTCAAGACAAATCAAGTACTTTTGACTTTGACACTTTTGGGTGTAACTTGTAGTTTTTGATTTTAGGCATAAAATTGACAATCTTATATATAAATATATACTTATGCATAGTTTGAGCATATGCTATTGAAAAATAATTTTTGGAATAAATGAAGATTTAATCAAAGTATATTGAGCGATAAAACCTTGAATATGAATAGACTGATGAAATGAGAAAGTAATATCAACATACCAGATACATTTGCACCGTTCATTATCCCAGTTACACCAGAAAATAATACGGAGAAAACAATGACGAAAGACGTCAATGAACCAGTGGTATAATCATTTGAATACATAGCTAAAAGAGTACCAAAATCCAGAAATACAATGGTTAATTTATATAATACACATATATAATTCTTCTAGTTTCAGTCATCATTTAGTTAGAACTATCAATCTCAACCTTTGCATTGACACCTACATAAGTAAGTTTGTTTGTTCTTGTGGATCTGTCCCCGCGAGAAAGACTTTTCGAGTATGGAGGTAATATTGTCTTACTGTGGGATGATACCCAAGCCATGCAATCCACACTTAGTTGGCAACCAGTGGCCGTAGGTATTCCATGTGCTTTGCACTCCCCCATATGAAAAGTACTGTTACAAGACTAGCAGGACTCTGAACCTCCAATCCCTGTTGGTAGTGAGAATTTAGTAGTCAAGAAGTTCGTGTATCTGGGTAGCTGCATAAGTTTTGATGGTGGCGTAAGTGATAAGATCAGTTTACGTATAGGATATTAGACGACTTTCTGTGTTTACTCGTTGTTTTCTCCGAACAATTGCTGACATCCAGTGACATCATGCCAGTAATGCAGAGGTTCAGGAACGTGTGTTCGAGTACAGAGACAATAATTCAAACAGTGTCACCGTTTTGAAACACTGAGTCCGGTGGCTTGGACATATCCTACGAATTCCACACCGTGAATTATTCGCCGATACTGCGACTGGTTGGAAAAAGTGGAGAGCTCGTTAATGTATGACATGCTATTGTCGTGGGTAAGAAAGAAGTACAGGACTGGCTTCTGTTGGTCCTTTATGACTCATTGTTGGGGTCCTAAAGACGGTGCAACACAGTAGCTTGAGCCGTTATCAGATATGGCTTATAGTAAAAGCCAATGGTGATTCTGCTGTAACTTTCTTTTACCTTTTTCATTAACGCGAGAGTAAATTCTTTAACTGAGGGAATTCCTTCCGGTTGTATTCCTCTTGACTAAACGGTTTCTCACATTATAATTATGATTATTTTGCTCTCAGACACTGATTTTTATTCACTTTTGTTCTATTTTTATCATGCTTTCCTTTCGCGTTCTCTTCACGACTGTTTTCACTGAATTCTAGCTTTGACCTCAATTAATATTCAAATTAACAGTTTTGAGGACTTTACTGGTTAAATGACTATTTGTATAGAAAAGGATATTGATTGAACGACAAATCAGAAGCATAAAAAGCAGTGTTTCGTTTGTACTACATTAACTTGGATTAATTTTGATTTGGTTACTTATTCTCTGAAGCAGTGGTTTACACTAAGTCACGAAACGTCAGAAAATTTGATTTTTCCACTTATTGGGATATTACAAATATATTATTTAGTTACAGTGCACATAAGTTTCGTCATATTCTAGTAAGTTTAATACATATAATCTTCCATGTAAACTTAACTTGAGATAATCTGATGGGACTAAATCAGAGTTTGATATAAAGTCTACGAATCGATTTAAGTGGTTCAAATGTGTTAACATAAAACCATCTAAAGATTGTAAGAAGGCATCACGATCAATAAAATGAACAGAGAGGAGCATTAACGATCAAAGAGAATTGAAATAAAGGTCAATCAGTTAGATTATACGGAATGATTTAAAATCAAATAAGGCTTCAAATAGATCAAACATTTTTGGAGTACTACAACAACTATTTTCCATGAAAGATACATTGTGCCGATTTCTCCTAAAAATTATAAATCTGTATTTTTGTTTTAACGCAAACGCGAAATGATATCAACCAATGTTTACATACTAAAATCGTGTACACTCTGAGTAATCTAAAAACTAAGATAACATAGCACATCAATAACTGATTTTAAAATCAAAGAATAAGAAAGAGTAGAAAAATTGTAACACCGCCGCAAAACATAGCCATATAAAATCTCCAATTATCGATCTATGTTAATTTCAAGGACACCAAGCACACAGATCATATCCTAAACATTTATTTTCTTTGAATCAACGATGTAAAAAGAACGTCCGCAGTGTTAGAAGGACCAATTTCTAACAAATTAACAACATACATATAAACTTAGCTAATAGTGTGAAAATGGTTCAAACAAACTAGCCATTTTTCTGTTCATCAGGGACATAGCGATAAAATCGTCTCATAAGAAAATCAAATATATAGGATATGTGCTTCGTAGAATACAGATGTACGAGTAATCACGTTTTCATTTATTTACCACGTTTCAGTTGCTGTCTTAGAATGCATCTCCTTACGATGCTCCACTGCCTTGTGGGTTAGACCTTTAGGTCAAAGGCTCGGGGAGTGGCCCCCTAAGATAACCACCTGCTTCGGTTTGGGCACCCGGGCAGTATCACAGCCCACACACAAATGATGAACTCTATGTCCATGGAAATTACCTTTGTCGCTTTGAAAAACAATCAATTGATTCAAATTATGATCACTACAATTATTGTCATTATTAATACTAATATTATTATTACTACTATTATTGTCATTATGGTTATTATTATTATTATTATTATTATTATTATTATTATTATTATTTTCCACATTATTCACCTTCTTTTATACTTATACAGCGGCTCGTCTTTGGTGGAATTCCGACTGTATCTAAACGTTCTCGAGTCACTGTCCGGTTGAAAATTGTATGTTACCACCGAATACGAGGACTGAAGCAGTTTTTCTGAAACCACGTGCACCATTCAAACTGGCTGCCTTCAATGTTCGCACATTTATGCAGGTCGGACAACAGATAGGGCTGGCTATGTCTTTGGAAAGTCTTAATATCGACGTGTGTTGTCTATCCGAGACCCGTATTCAAGACTCTGGCGAAGTACTACAAATTCGATCTCCATCTGTCGCTTCGAAAAGCTCGTTTTACGTGCGCTTATCCGGGGACCCTGTGGCATCTTCGTCTGGTCTTGCTGGCGTTAGTGTCGCACTAAGCGCTAGAGCTGAGGCAGCACTAGTCGATTGGATCCCCATTAACAGTCAGTTATGTGCTGTTAGATTAGAAAGTTCAATCAAAGTGAGAAGAAATCGGCGTGAGAAACGATGTCTTTTCGTCATCTCCGCCTATGCCCCGACAGATTGCAGCCCGGATGCAATCAAGGATGAGTTTTACCACCAGTTATCTGTTCTTCTCCAGAAAGTGCGTTCCACAGATATAGTAGTACTAGCCGGAGACTTGAATGCTCAGGTCGGGCGTCTAGGCACAGAAGAGAGTCGTTTAGGTGGCCGATGGGGACTCGTTGGTCGCAGGTCAGATAACGCGGACCGTCTACTGTAACTGTGCACAGACCACAACCTGTTTCTGGCTAGCACTAACTTTCGGCACAGTCATCGCCGATGTGCCACCTGGCGTCCTCCCTCTGCATCTCAAGCCTGGACTCAGATTGATCACATCGCGATCAGCTACCGCTGGCGTGGTTGTGTACAAGACTGCCGCTCCTTTTGGAGTACCTATCTGGACTCTGACCATGCCTTGGTCTGCGCCAATCTTGCCTTACTTTTCAGTGGACAACGAAGTGAACGCCATCAACGGATTGATGTTAGCAAGCTGGTTGCAACTTCTGTTGCAAATAAGTATCGAACCGAGCTAGCCTCTAGGCTAGCTACCACTCCACCGAAAAGTATAGATGAGCATTGGTTGCAATTGCATGACGCCATGAAAATGGCGGGAACAGTCAGCTGTGGGTTTGCGAAACGTCCCGCTTTTAAGCACTGGGTTTCTTCTGGTTCCTTACAACTCATTGAAGCCCGTCGGTCTACTCCGGGTAACCGTGAGTTTGACCATAAACGAAGGATTTTACGTAAGGAAATCGGGCAAAGCTTGCGTAAGGACCGAGAAGCCTGGTGGTCGATGCGTGCTAATGAGCTGGAAGCAGCAGCTGCATCTGGTAACTACCGGAAGCTCTTCCAACTCATCCGAGCCACTGACAGCAAGAAGTCTGGTGTGAGTGAAACAATCTGCGAGGGTGATGGGATGCCAATCACTAACATCCATCGACGTCTTGGACGATGGGCAGAATTTTTCGAAGGGCAGTTCAACTGGCCTGCTGCTCCGGCAACATCGGTCAGACTGTCCTGCCCTCCATGGCCGGTGACGACTGATCCACCAAATGAGGAGGAAGTCCGCAAGGAACTCCAACTCTTGAAGCGTTACAAATCACCTGGCCCAGATGACTTACCTCCGGCTCTTTTTAAAGATGGTGGTGACTTTTTGACTAAGGAGTTGACGACGTTGTTCACAAAGGTTTGGGAACTAGAGAGTGTACCAACGTCATGGAATGAGTCGATAGTTGTCCCTATCTTTAAAAAGGGTTCACGTCGTTCCTGTAACAACTACCGGGGGATAAGTTTACTTCCGATTGCGTCCAAGCTATTGGCTTCCGTCATTCTTCGTAGGTTGTTCAAAACCCGAGAAAGATTGACTCGCGAGGAGCAGGCTGGTTTTCGTTCTGGTCGAGGATGTATTGATCATATCTTCACCCTCCGCCAAATGTTAGAACACCGTCATGCTTATCAAAGGCCAACAATCGTAGTGTTTCTTGACATCAGGGCTGCCTTCGATTCGTTGGATAGGACTGTTCTCTGGGATTGTCTATTGAAGAAGGGTGTGCCTGAGAAGTTTATTAACATCCTAAAAGCCCTTTATAAAAACACCTCAGGCAGAGTGAGGGCATACAACCACCTCTCTCCATTGTTCCATTCGAGCAGTGGGGTTAGGCAGGGTTGCCCAATCTCACCATTCCTCTTCAACTTTGCCATCGATGACATTCTGGAAACAGCTCTGATGAATGTAAGTAATGGTGGTGTGGATCTGTTGCCTGGAGAAAGACTTCTCGACCTTGAGTATGCGGACGATATTGTCTTAATGTGCGATAATGCCCAAGGCATGCAATCCGCACTTAATCAGTTGGCAATCAATGTCCGTAGGTATGGTATGTGCTTTGCACCTTCGAAGTGCAAAGTACTTCTACAAGACTGGCAGGATTCTAATCCTGTACTCACCCTGGACGGTGAGCAGATAGACGTAGTTGAGAAGTTCGTGTACCTAGGTAGCTGCATAAGTGCTGGTGGGGGTGTGAGTGATGAGATCAATGCACGAATAGTGAAAGCCAGAGCGGCTTATGCCAATCTGGGCCACCTTTGGCGCCTTCGTGATGTTAGTCTGGCTGTAAAAGGCCGGATCTACAACGCGTCGGTGAGAGCAGTTTTGCTCTATGCTTGTGAAACCTGGCCTCTCCGAGTTGAGGACGTTAGACGACTCTCTGTGTTCGATCATCGCTGTCTCCGAAGGATTGCTGACATTCAGTGGCAACACCAAGTCAGTAATGAAGAGGTTCGGCATCGTGTGTTCGGTCACAGAGATGATAATGCAATCGACGTCACCATCTTGAAACACCGACTTCGGTGGCTTGGACATGTTCTCCGAATGTCGTCCCAGAGAATTCCACGTCGTGCATTATTTGCCGACTCTGGGACTGGTTGGAAGAAGCGGAGAGGTGGTCAGTGCATGACATGGTGTCGTGGCATGAAAGAAAGCTGCAAAGGACCGGCTTGTGTTGGTCCTTCACGACTCCCTGGCTGGGGTCCGAGAGATGGTGCTACACAGTGGCTAGAGACGTTATCAGATATGGCTCAGAATAGAAGCCAGTGGCGATCCTGCTGTAACCTTCTTTTACTTTCTTCATAAAAAGTGGTTGTATCTTCCTTAACTGAAAGATTTCTTCTGATTGTACCTCTTCGTCATTACTCTCTCTTTCTTTTGCGTTCCTTAGTTTTTTTTTCTTCTTTTTTTTTCTTTCTACTTCTCTTCGAATTCCCATTGTTTTTTGTGGCGCATATATATTGGCGCTCTCTTGTACCAATATTTATGTGTTCAAATAAATAAATAAATATATAAATAGAATGCAAACTGTTTTCATATTCTTATTTCCATAGAGCCGATTTGAAAGGTGTCAATCGAAAGGTAATAGACAAGAAAACGTAATGCAAAAGAAGAATTTATTTTATATCATTGATTTCTTACCAGCTGAAGACTGTATCTAATCGATAAGATACCAATGAAACAAAGTCAATTTATTTTATCTTGTCATTTTGTGAATTAAATTTCTATTGACCTACAAAACCCATTAAATAGTAGTCTGTGACTTCAGAAATTACTATCAAGGCTTTTTAAATTTTATTTCTGCTCCACCTAGCAAATTATTTTCGGTAAGACAGATGTTTAGTATGTGTTAGGCGGACTAAAGCATATATATATGGAACAGTGGTTTACCGATTAAAGCCCTGAGCTTCTAATCACTGTGTCAGAGATAATGATATGAAGAAGATGCTTCAATTGCCTAAATTTTTCAACTTATATTTAAATTCATTTATTTACCGATACGCACAGTTAAAAACCGATCATCTCTTAAAACCTAAGGCTATATTAATCTAGATATTTTGAGAAAATTAACTCTGAACTATATAGAATTATAGTAAATAAACTTGAAAAGAACCTTACACGTGGCACGATTACCAGAATTAACCTCTAGATTACTAGCTTAGTACATAATATCAAATGAGTTGAATCCAATTTTGATAAGGTTGAGATTTTCTTCCTGTTTCGTTACAAATGTGTGAGTAGAGTCATTAGAAAGTAATGTCTATGTGAAATACGATATGTAACTAATCAATATACATTACAAAACAAACACTGCTTCGGAGAAAAATTGATTAATAATAAGGAATTATACAAAATTCGAGTGATAATTAGAAATATAACCAACAACAAATAAAGGGATATTCACATGTTTCTTCAATACCGGAATAAAATGAACTTACGATAAATATTTTCTTTGAATGTATTCCCATTTAAGCCAGTAAACTCGGCAAATATAGTTATATTATTTGATGTTGATGAATTATAAATAAGCGAATTAGATCTTGGCAAAGGTATCAATTTTGGTTGTAGAAAGAAACTAGCAAATACGCAGATAATAACAATAACCACAACCTGTAACAAGAATTTTTTTAAATAAATACAAAATGTTGAGTATAGTATATGCTATTGAATATGATCAAGTTATTTTTACGAAAGGAAATATATGAGAAGTATATATGGCTTCTAATTATTCATCTAATTCATGCAAAATCTAGTACAAATGAGTACTAAAAACAGAATGTGTTTAATAAAAAAAAATTTGTGTAAACCAGGATACTGTTGAGACGTCCAAACCGAAGCAGGAAGTTTTTTGAGGGGACCGCTAACTCAAACTCTAATCTAAATGCCTTATCTATAGGGGAATAGATCAACATTGAGAAATGCAACCCCATGGTAGCCGGTGACTAAAGATATCTTCATAAGCTATAGGATCCAGGAACCTATGTCCACTATTGGTTTGAAATCAGTGTTCCAACTCCTCCATGAGAATCCTCTATATATATCAACCCTGTTTAAGGCCTCGACGTGCACCCCTACTACGTGAAGGCAATGAGCAGGAATTCCTAAACAGAAGCTTTAAACGCAAAACCAGACGAGAACATCACGGGAGGGAGAGCGCAAACTCTCCACACTTGGTCATAACCAGGGCATTTGAGCCACATATTGTATGACGAGCATGAAGTAAATACCCTAATTTATGATGTTCAAGAATATTATTCGATTTATTAATAATAAAATTATAAACAACTGAATTGTGTGGTTCACATTATCAAATAAATAAGATATTCTCTCAACGATCATCACCTATCAGGGAAAAGAAATGGTGATCAAAAAAGCCATCTTTTCACGTATGATCTTATCACGTTTTCAGTGTATTTCCGTTGCCAGAATAAAATAACTTAATTAGGTTTTAAAATAAATACGATGATGATTAATTAATTTATCATATAATAGAACGCAAAATAAGGTCGACATTTCAAGATTTATTTGAGTTACTAATATTATCCAAATAAGTTTTATGTAAAATTTTACATATGATGAACTAAAATGATTAGTTAATTTACGAGTATGTCTCATAATATATACCACTCATTTAAAAAGGAGTATTAACACAATGATTCAGATACCAACCCACACATTAAATCTTTCTTATCACACAATGACTTAGCAACGTTTGCGAAGTAACTAAATATATCACATAGTGAAGAGGATCATATAAACTAAATAATTTTAAGTAGCGTGCTTAAAGGAAATAAGTATTTTAAAAACTTGGTTTACCAGATATAGACAGATGGAAATCTGTATAGCGAATAAAGACCATTCATCAGTCTTGCAACACTTTTATGGAGGAACAAAATATGGAAGTATACATGTAACGTCGTTACGGAGTAAGGGACTCGGCAAAGGAAAAGAAATGTATTTGCAATATAAAGCAATAAAAGCATTTACAATAAACGACCATAATATAACTAAACTATGGTTTAGTGTCAGACAACTGATGAACAAATGAAATTCCAACGATTTTGTTGATCAATGAAAACTAAACCTTGAGTAATCTGTAGTTTACAGTCGGAAAAAGTACGTAACAATAAGAATGGCAACAACAAATATAAAATCGATCTAACAAATAAATCTGTACATACATTTGAGCGAAATTGGATACCAATGACTAAAAAAATGATAAAAAGTCACAGTGTACCACCTTGAATACATTTTCAGTAAGATAAAAACATAATTTTCTAACTTTGGTAAACATAAGCTGATTTGCATAATACTCCAAAGTTGAATATATTTTTCATGACTCACCTTAACATCTAAAAAACAGATTGTTTGATGGTTTCTAATTTCTAAATCCTACAACTAGGCGTCAGCATGACATCTATTGAAAAAAACATTAAGTATTCCAAGCTTAAAGATATTGCATTAAGTATACCGTAGAGTAGTAACCTCGACTGCTAACAGACAACGGTTGTTACGGGGTAAAAGTAGTTGTGTGACTCAGTGCAGAAACTAGTTATTTTCCCAGTGCTAAAAACCTGTAAAAATACTCAACAAAACCCACAAACATATAGACTTTCCGAAATAGTACAATAAGACTGAGATGCAGTGGTAGACAAATTTGACCATCACAACTAAACAACAACAGTTGGTCGGGTAAATGAATACGAAGCCATACCAATATTATAAAAAAACATAAAGAATAACTTGAAATCTAATTGTTCTGCTAGTTTAATAGGTGATAGATAATTTACACTTAAAACTACCAATACAAATTACTTTATCATTAAAATAATAAAAATATTCATAATATAATAATAATATTTGTATTTGCAAAAATGTCCTTTGAAATCATCTACATTTAACAAGTCTGAAAAACACTATTAACTAACTATTTATTATTCACAACACTATGGAAGAGGGAGGATGAAATAACTGAAATAGTACATTACAAGTAAAAAAAATATAAACAGTACACCAAACAATAACGAAATATGCACTATTTGGTGACAATTTACTTATTATTACCAGTACTAAAAACAGTAATTTCAATAAAATACAGGTACTTATGAAATAATACAAAGTTCGTATTACAACTTTTCTATCCTCAAAAAAAATCTTAGTTGATATTATATGTCTAAGAATAGAGGAATACGCACCTTTTTATAAGAAATACCACACAAATATAACTTAATTAATCACTGCATTATACTCTACAGTTATCTTTACAAGGAATTTAGAAATATTTACAGTGAACTGAACCTATATTATATGAATTTGATCATTAATTGTTCAAATCATAGAACTATGAATTTAAACATCAAAGGTTTGTGCATATATGCAGAATTACAAACTCGGACATATCAAGTGTGTTTAACGGATTACTTAATCAGGATGTAAGTAGCTGTTACGTTACATTCATTCCGACTAAATTTAGCTGCTGATATTTATAAAATAGTTGAGTAAATTTGATCCTCTAAGTGGTTTCATAATACAGTGGTATTGATTACAAATGGTAGTAAAATGAGAAATTGAGGTACATATTCACAAATGAGGAAAATGTTACAGTGACATAAAACGTAGTAAAATAATTCAAGAGCCTAAGAAAAATTTGAAAGAATGAAATTATTTCACTGTGGTCAATATCAAACTATCTCGCTTGCAATCTTTATAACCATAATCATGGGAAATTAATTCATGGGAAACTCATTGTAATATTTATAAAGGGTTGAGTTTGTAAGGCGTAAACATGATTCCTTTGAAATCACATCTCTTTGGCAACTTCCCATGGTTGATACTGTTCATTTTTATACGACTGTTTGAGTTAAGTGACAACTGTATGCAAGTAATGTTGAGATTTAACACTATGAGTGTGGGAATAGTCGATATCATTATTCATTCGATAAGTTCACTTTGAAGACATTGGCTTAAGTACATTATGATTATGAAATATCGGTATCTTTCATTTCGACAGCTGTTTGCAAATGTTACGAACAGTCGAAAGAACTTTAACGTGTGGGAGACTATCTCACTTGCGTTACATATGTCGCCCCTAGAATCGCCTAGAAAAAAATCGACATTTGAAACTCACACCTTAAACGACAACAATCTGAAAGTAACCTCGAATCATAGAATTAACATATGAAAGTATTTTAATCTCATGGAAAATAATAACAAATACAACTAGATACATCATGATGAAATTGGACTTAAAGCTTAATCTTTTATCTTTAGGCTGGTTGTTTTCTTTCTAAAACAAACAGTCGACACGATTGATAAGAGGAAATATATAAATATTATTACCATTACATTTTGTGATTTATGGAAAGAACAAATGAGTGACATTAATCCATTTTTTTTTTCATCACTAGTCATTGTCATTATAATAAGCATCGAAAACAATTTTGTAATATTGACATTTCTTAAAAGTATAAACTCCACAGTACTCAAAACATAAACAAACGAGGAACACAGTAACACTGAGAAATTTGTAAGGTTTACAGAACTATATTATGTTTAGACTTAAATCAATTAGATTAACCCGAGGTACAGAATAAATCGTCACAAGTGAAAGCGAATATATCATAAAAATGAATAGAAAGTTCAGTGAATAACCTTATAAAACATTTAATCATACATTAAAGCCGAATTGTCACTTCAATAAAATAAAGACACTTGGAGAGAAAATTACTAAAATTGAAAGCAATGCCAATAAATACCTAACTATATAAAAGTTTAGAAAGAACTAATAAGAACATATCAAACTGTAATCGACCATCAGATAGTGATTTACATCAATATTTGTTTGTAGATATGTATGCATATGGTTGATTGCTTGAAGATATAAATATTCTTGACTAAATTTCACGTAAATGGATAATCAACTAACAACTAGACGAAAAACTAAGTGGTATTTTGCTGTCAGACCGTGAAAAAAAATAACGTTACATTGGTGTGAAAGTATTTGAGGGTGTTATTTGTCTGATTTTCGTTCATGGAAAAAAATGTATATGTACAGCAACAATTTGAAGGATAAAGGTGTGAGCATTATGAGGGAGCTTTAAACCAGGATGATAGATTTATCTAGTCCCTCCTGAATTTTTTAATGCTTACTTAGCTGGTATCAGATTGCAATGAAGAATATCTTTAAAACGAAGACTATTGTGTAATTAGAAATGCAAAAGGTATGTATGATACTGTTATTTTAACCAGATTCGTATACATTCTCAATATATTGCCTGCATTTCGCTGCACCATTCCATCGAAAATACAAATAACTAACTTCATTAATAGTTATATGGGGATGATTGTTCTAGACACTATATGTATCTAGGATTCTATACAAATTATCACAAATTATTTCGACCACGATGTCAGTTTAACTAAACTTACTGCAAGAATGAAGTACAGAGCACGAGCAAACATTTGACTACCAATTAATAGGATAGACATACAAAGTGCAAGAATAACTATGGCATACAGGTAACTCCACCAGTGATTTTCACCAGGTAGTACCCCATCGAATAAAATACCTTAGAAAAAGAATAAATACAAACACAAATATGAAACTAGTACAAACCAAAATGTTAAGTATCATCAATATTTCTGACCCAGAATTACGGCGCATATAATACAATTTCTACAGCTGCAGTTCAAATGGTATTTTAAAACTAGCCTACCATTATTTTTTTCCAGTGACTCAACGAACAGTTTCAGTTGCGTATCATGAAGGCTGATATCAGGAGTAACAAGAGATTAGTACAATGGATGATTTTTGTTTCGCCGCTATCACAGTAAAAAGTAACGTGATTATGTCAGAATATATCACCGATACAAAAATATACCAAAAACAAGCACTTTTTGTGACTAACAAAATAACCTAGTATAAAGAAATTTTATACGAAAAACGTTTAGAGCCTCCAACAACAAAACTATGGGTCATAAATTAACCTTTATCTGTAAGCATAATTTTAAGGAATCTTTCATCTTCAAAAGAGCACTACTTAATGAACCATCAGGAAGAAAATAACATTATAGTCAATAGCAGCTTTACGACTAATTAGGAATATACCTCAGTGAGTCTAGTTTCTGACAAAGGACTTCGACTAGTGGTCAAAATAACCGACTTCCAACAACCTGAGTGTAAATCTTACACTGTCTGCAAAGTTATAACGAGTGAGTAAAATCCTAAATCCTCAAATAATAAGCGTGATCAACCGAAGAATATATATATATGAAGGTGGTTACTGAGCTGTAGTATTTTATTGCAAGTCCTAGAACAATATCATAGAAAAACTCAAGGTTTATATTTCGATTTCGAAGATTATTCAGGTATAATTTCTACGTTTAAAATACAGTCCCGTAGTTATATTTACAAAAACTAACTAACCTCCAGGACCAAAATTTATGAGCACAGCTTCCACTAATCCCGCTATATACAAAGCAGCACTACAAACTTGTGCGAGGAAAAATATCGATCCAATAGCTCCACCGAATTCAGGGCCTAAAGTCCTACTAAGCATGACTAATTGATTTTTCCATCAAGGAAATCAGTTACAGTTAATATGTGAAAACAATTTCAGAAAACACAAAAACGTATTGATATATACCGTAATAACTACTTCACTTTGAATAAAAGCTTGAATGAACTGAACGAATACAACTCTACGCGATACTCAGTTTCGTCATAGAGTATTATATAATGGCTGTAAGTCGGTTGATAAGAACCAAAACCTTAGTCAGTTAGTGCATTTAAGACATGTTTGGCCATAGACTCCTCCGAAGCAATGTTGGCTGGAGTAGAAACAATGTAGAAAGCTACACGTGTCTAAACAAATAAACCCTAACAGTCAGTGAAGTCATTATTAGATAGAGGCGTTCATGGAGTGGCAAGCTTTCTGGTTGCTTGAGTAGTAGTCGGAATCAATTGTTCAGTCCCAATGCAATATCTTTATTCATTCCTTACCTTTGTTTAGATTGAGATTTATAATATTATCCCATGAACTGTCAAAAACCGTCCAGCACTACTAGGTTTCCAATAATAGTTTAACTAAGATGAGTTCATAATCTATACTATGAAAATTACATTGAGATTTTGACTTATTCGCTCTTCCTCTACCTGTTATTGATAAAGTATGGTAACGCAGGCCGCTACACATTGTTTATGGTTAGCTATACAATATGCGAAAATTTTTAAACTGGTAAACATATGGTATGTATGCATTATTATCGGGAAACCTCATGATTCACAGAGTCAACGACTAGAAGAAACACTGTTAATGTGATCATTCTGAATCATTACAACCAGAGTATATGATCGAGAACATAGACTAGATTTTTACAATATACTATGACAATATTATTCCAGTTTCAGGTATGATATTGCTATAACGAAGCAGTTACCCTTGACTTAATTTCAAAACATCAGATTTATTATCAACATTATATATCATAACTAGTGAAACTTCTGAATGGTTTCATATTCAATTCAATTACTTAATTGCTTCCTTCATGTGTAGGCACTATCAGATCCATAATGAATAATTTTAAAAATCTTTACCAAATGAAATTTGATTAAAGTGTCACCACTCTAATCCATTGGTTAACAACTAGTTCTTCCTACGAGAACAGTTCACCTTGCCTGACAAACTCTTTTAGAAAAACCACTTCATCCAGAAGTAATCAGGAAAATTAATAAGTCAGTTAAACTATTTTTCCTACAAGCAGTATCACCACAAATTTGAAATAAATATGAAATACTTCTTTAACAATTCAGTTTAGCTGAAGCCACCTTCGATACACGTGTACATGTATACACAATGGTGAAAAAATATGTGATTAGTACGTTTATATACGAATGACAAGATCTAATCAGATTTCTTACAATTAAAAACAATCTGAAATGCCAAGTTAAATGAAAAATTGAGCATGAAAAGCACTGAACGACTCATTTTCTTACGAATACTTCTAATTACAATAGAAAAGGATACAATATACACCTCCTCCTTCAACTGCCCCATTTGTACTAATTGCGCATATAGAAAATACAGTCAGCAACAGGATGAAATAGGATAGTAATAGTTGTAATATACTTTCCAGCAAACCAGCATGAGCAATAATAAACCCTGCGCGAGGAGCAATATTTATAGAAAAACACTGAACGTACCTAAACGTAGAAATATCACGCTACTGAACTGGGATAACGTTACAGAGCAAAACACGCCACCAAATGTGTTCAACGTACGACGTGAAATGACAACATTGTCATCAAGCGATTTACTAATGTCAGCCATTGTGTTTTATTGATTAGATTTTAGGCAATACCATCACGGACGGACGAATATCCCAAAGTACCATATGATGAGAGTATGGATCTACGTGAAAGAAAGAAAATTAAACGGAAGTAAATAGTCATTAGTAATAACAATAACAGTCTTTTCAGCCCAAATAATGTGACTAACCTTTTTTCCATCTATGGGCTTACTGTGGTTTCCCCATGTTAGAAATATGGATGAATCACCAAGGTCTTTAGTTTCTAAACATCGAGTTCAAAATCTGAAACTTGACTTACTTATCGAGGTTTTGACAATCATACATCAGTTAATTTTCGAAATCCAGATGAACACAACACACGACCATATTAACAGTCAAAGAATCTCATATTCGTATTTTATTTCACCTTCGGCTATATGTCTATCTATGACAACCAAGGACGACTAACAAGTTCACTGTCGCCCTACGTCTACGAACATTCTCACTAACTTTTATTAAATTCACGTTACAAGACGAACGAGGTTATAAGTGAACTTGTCAATCGCCCATGATTGTCACAGTCCGATATACAACCGAAGATGGGATAAAATACGAACGATTTTAATGAAAAAACATAAATTGCTTTCGTTTAGTCAACTTGTCGACGAAAGCACAATCAACGGTAATTGACTTTAACAGTGATTTATGTTGCATTAATAGCAGTCAACACTGCTAATTATGATGAAAATCAACCAACCGTGATAGTATCCAGTAGTCACAACAATGAAAGGTCTCTGAATGATAATGGTATGTGAAAGAAGTGAAATCATTAATCAATTTCTTGTAGGATGTAATCACATTTATTTGCGTTCATAGAAGTTCATAAAGCAGGAAGAACAAATAAATATGGCATTGATGAATTTGATGACAAATAGCTGTCAGACAAGCAGGAATATTGATCGCATCCTAAATGCTTTTCGAGATCTTGTACCAGATTTACCAAGAAGCACTAGAAGTGTCCTACGAACGTGCACAAGTGTTCAACTTAAGTTCATAAATAGTGGTGTTTACTACCATCTCTGATTAGAAACTTTGGTTGAGTACTTGTGATTTTGAAACACTGGACTTGCATATTAATGTAGACAGACTTGATTTCAAGGATCTCTAATCAACGATTATGGCCTATATTAAGACGCATCGTTGCCCCTAGGCTTAGAGACGTGTTCATGACAGGCGTTTATGGAGGGAATGCTAAGCCAACCGAATTTAACGAAATAGTCACAAGAACATATGGGCTGACTGTAAATGCATTGCCGTTAACTGTGTTAATAATGCACTAATTGTTCCATTGCTGCATATGTTCAAGTGAATATAATTCGTAAAACTTTTCTGATGGTATTACTCTAAACCATTTCCTTACCTTCTACATACTGTTTAGCTGAGTAATAAGCAGTTCGTACTTATCGACGCACAAAGCAAGAGACAGGTTCTAATTGCAGATAAGCAGTGAACTGAGAACTTTGTCTCTATTCTACGAGCATTGTGCATATGCACCAGTAGAACAGTGCCCAACCAGGTGACAATTAATCCTAAAGTCCAAAGGTCATCAACCGCTGTAGTGAGTTACAAACATAGGGACGATCATTTCCTATAGATAGTTTCGAGACTGCAAAGGATTTGTTGGTTTTGGTCAACAACTTGACTGGTTACTGTGTCGCTAATTTTACGGGAGAAAACATCTTGCCACTAAACGAAGAGAAGCTAAAGAGGTCCATAAAGTAATCTTATTATTATTTTGTAGAGGTGTATTGAAACGGAAGGAAAGGTTTCTGTACAATTCCGTTGATATGGATGTGAATGAGATGCAGGCTGGAAACAGCCACGTTCAATATCATAAATTTGGATTGCTAGATACTTTTTCTCACCAGTTGCCAAGTCGGCGTGTTTTCTTTAAAAAAGTTAATAAACAATTTCGACACAGTTGGATGTGTCACCTTCAACGTACGTGTAGAGGCGTGTGGGAAGTGCATTAGCAGTCGAGCAAGTCACGTGTCCGACTGAGTTAAGTGCTTAAGATTTGGTACACCGTGTGATGTGCTGTAGAACATATCGTCTGCTGTTTCAGACTTGAGTGCCAACACTAAGTAGCTAATGTCGAGGTCTGGTGGGCGTGAACATCCGCGGTAACTTGGTTTCGGACTATCAAGTTCACAGCTCCCTTTTTCATCTACAGAGAGACTAGGAACGTTGTACGCATGTCTTTAGCAAGAAGATATAGGGAACAAATTTGTAAGTCAATAAAATTCATTGAATTATTTGTTCGTATTGCAGATGACCATGTTGAAGCGGTTAAAGACACTTCATCTACAATAAATAAAGATCGTTGCTCGGGTATCTGTTACAAATATCCCTGTGTAATATGGTGTTTCTTCTAGTTAATAAATGTCTTTAACCATGTATCATTTTTAAACGTAGTCGATTGCAGTCGTCGTGTAATTTGTTATGGAAATAAAGCCGAACATGGAAGACATATGGGGTTAGGCAAAAGATGGACAACAAAGCGTGTGATCAACGGTACAGTAAAAAATTAGGCAACAGGTTAGACGAAAAGCAGAAAATTTTGCGACTTTTGAGACAGAGAGATAAAGGAGAAAAATTCCGCATTATTTCCCATGACAGAAAAAAAACATTCTGAAGCGGTTCCACAGTAAATCCCCCTTTACCATAGAAATGTAACCTGTACTTCCCACTCCCACGCCTTTATTGCCTCTTTAATTGATTGCTTGTGAATACCCGTCAGGGTGTTTATTAATATAATGCGCAATCGCGCATTAAGATCACAAAAATATAAAGTTCTACACTAATAATACAAAATCCATAACCTAAAGAATGAATCGCACACACCTAGGCAGAGCCATACGTGGCGAGCAAAATTTGTGAGATACGACCATTTAACAACTTACCGCTGAAATTCTAGTAAACGAAACTATTAAGTGGTAATAGTAACGTTCTCAAGGACACGGCCTAAGCAGGGCAAGTAACTATGAATGTGCAAAACAAACTTTTAGTAGCATCATATTTTGTATTGTACCTTAATGTTATAATTACATATCTTCATGCATTGCAAACGGTTGAGCATGGTTTATCGCATTTTTACTAAGTTGGTTATTTGCTCCATTCAATTTCCTTTCTTCAAATGGTTCAAATGGTTCAAATGGTTGTGAACGGAATAGAAGAAGCTTTCGCTTAACAGGCTTCCGTGTCTAGTAGCAAGGGATCACCAAATCCTCCAGGCAGGAACCTAGGTATGTTAACAATAAAAGAGGAAAAGAAATTGGTAAATCATAGTGCGATGCTGTCCTTGGTCCTTAAGAATAGGTCAAGTTGCCTCTTGAAGGACTCCTGAGAAGTCGCTTGGACTAGCTCGGCCGGCAGCGAGTTCCAGCTTTTGACAACTCTTAAGGAGTAGAAGTTGTGTCTACATTCCGTCTTGCTATGTTGTGTTTCCAGTTTCTGGGTGTTACCCCTTAGGTTATTGTTCGAACTAAGCTTAAGTAGGTGTTTAAGAGGATGTCCAGAAGTGTTAAGAATACTATAAGCCATTAATAAATCACCTCTAAGACGCCTATATTCTAGTGGGTAAAGGTCTAGTGAACGAAGGCGTTCTTCGTAAGGCTTAGATTTGAGTCCTCGAACTGATTTCGTGGCTCGCCGTTGGATACGCTCCAAAGTGACCTTATCCTTTTGGAGTGAGGGGGGGAGTACTATGTTTCCGTACTCTAAATGGGGACGGATGAAACTATTGAAGATTGTGTGGAAAGTTCTTCCGTCAAACTGACCAAAAATGCGCCTCAACGTTACCAGTGCAAGGTTTGCTCGGAAGGCATTTTTGTCACAGTTAGCGTAAGACTTTAAGTCATGGGGCACCAGGACTCCTAAATCTTTTTCGACTTGGGATACTACTAGAGAGGTGTTTCCTAAGTTGTAACTGTAGTTTGCGACATGTCGCAGATGGACTACTTTACACTTAGAAGTGTTAAAGGTAAGTCCGTTATCGTCTGCCCAACTTTGAAGTCGAGTCAGATCATCTTGAAGTGCCTGTATATCGTCATTGTTGCGTATCTCTCTCCAAAGTTTCACGTCGTCGGCAAAAAGTAATAAGTCTGACGTTACCTGTTGAGGAAGATCATTTATGTAGATCAAGAAGAGAAGAGGCCCTAGTACTGAGCCCTGGGGGACCCCACTAGGACATTCCATAGCTTGAGATAAAGTGAAATTGACCCTAACCTTAAAGTGTCGATTTTTTAGGTATGAAGTAAGCCAGTCGATTAGAGGTGGTTTGATACCTAGTCGTTTGAGCTTGTTGATAAGACACAAGTGGTTAACCTTATCAAAAGCTTTTGAGAAATCAAGGTAAATGACATCAACCTTTCCCTTGCGATCGAGGATGCTTGTCCATCTGTCCACCGCAGTCAGCAGGTTGGTTATACAAGAGTAACCCTTCCTGAAACCATGCTGTTGGGGTGAGAAGAAATTTAAGGACAGTAGGTAGTCATTTAAACCGTCGCATATCAGGGACTCCATGAGTTTTGAAGGTAACGACAGAAGAGCTACCGGCCGGTAACTTGAAGGTTCATTGCGTCGACCACCTTTGAAAATTGGTGTGATGTGAGCCAACTTCCAATTTTCCGGTAGTTTGCCTCGGCTAAGCGAGTGTGAAAACATCACGCTAAGCGGCGTTGCCAGGATTGAGGCTGCCTCCCTCAGTATGGCAGGATGAACCATGTCCGGGCCAGGAGAAGTGTCAAGTCTTAAGTGCTGCAGTTTCCGGAACACCAAGTCAGCGCTTAGGTCCACTTCAGAAAGTCCTGTGGAATTGCAGATGAAACTGTCGTCAATAAAGTTGATATCAGCCGGTTGAAATGTTTGAGAGTAATGGGCCGCCAGAAGGTTAGCGGCGTCGCCATCGTTGTTGGTCGGGCCGTTAGGACCTAGCAGTTGAGAAACTCCTGTTTTGGCTTGACGAAGAGAGGCTGCATAACGGAATAGGCTTCTAGGGTTAGAGGCGAATTTGTCCATAAGCTTTGTTTGGTACTGAAGCCTGTCTTCTCTTATAGCCTTCGTGCATGTGTTCCTGATATGTTTGTATTGCCTATACGCTCCATCGTTATTAGTTCGTTTGTATTCCGCCCAACAGTGCCGTTTGCGGCTTAGCAGGCGAAGGGTACGGTTCTTGATTACTGTAGGTGGCTTGAAGCTTTTGGGAACCGTTTGAGGAACTGAATGGTCTGTAGCACATAAGAGCGTGTGCAGCAAGAAGTCCCAATGACCATCCACATCGATTTGAGGGTGAACATCCCAAGCCACCTGTTGTAGATGGTCATGTAGAGCTCGCACATTCAGCGGTTTAAAATTCCATCGCAAATTATTGTTGGGATACGGAAGTACGAAGTACACTTCCTGAAAACAACGAGCGTTGAACTTTTGTTATTCCGAATTACATACCTTTTATTTACTAGTGTTTACTCAAGGAAGTACTCATCGTAAATGACTATGCGCTCCTAGGTCAAGGCTCTCGGTCAAGCATTACCACCAGATCACTATCGAGTGCACCACTCATAACAACCGATCATCTCAGATCATTTATTTCTGGACACATCGACCGATTCCCGAATATATCTCTGAACCCCTTCACTCTAAGTTTCTAGTTTGACTAAAATTGGAATCTTCGACTAGAAAGGTGTTACGGACGATAATGCTGTCGAGCTCTGGGTATTCGCCGTGTGGTGCGCCTCAAAAATGATCTGGCACCCAAAATGATTAGATGTGAGTTTATTCCTTGTCCCAACATTGTGCGTATATATTTTTTCGTCTGTTATGTCAGACATGTTTACCTCAACGTATGTATTACGCAAACCCATCCACTTGATACTCGTTGTTGTAGATGTTTTTATGCCAATCATTGGTCTAGACCTACGACAACGTCATAATCCACTCATCATCATGTGCAAATGGGCGTTGGTAGGTGAAATTACTAAATTGTCAATTTGTGGAACTTTATTTTCCGGTAGTCCCAGTCACAGCTAAGCATAAAATCGATCCCTACTATCAACGGATACTCGACAAGTACCCTGAGCTGTATGAAACTCTACCAAACAACCGTGCGTAACCATAAATATTACACATCACATCACGACTATAGGACCACCTGTATTCCTGAAAGTACACCGACTACCTCCCAAAAGCCGGAGCTTGGGTGAAAAATAATTCGATCACATGATAGAATTAGGGATCACAGAGCCATTAAGCAGCCCATGGTCATCTCCCTTATACATGGTCCCAAGAAAGGCCACCAAGGATTGGCTTCTAACTGGCGACTATCGGCGAATGAATGCGAAATCCGTTCCTGATAGTTACCTGTTGCCTTGTAGTGGCATTGGACAATAGCCACACAATCCACAAAGCTGTGAACACGAGACTACTCAGAAAATAGATATTCAATATTTAACGCGGAGAAATACCTAAAAATGGAGAAGGCGCGAACAATGAATTGAATGGACTGGAGTTGATCGAGTGGCATGGCTCGGCCATGCAGGCGTGGTCTCTATTCATATTAAATATATTGTTCCTTCTCTAACCTAACCTTCTTCTTCATCATGTATTGGTAATTGATACGATACAGTGAGTTGGCGTAGTCGATGGTGTGACTTCCACGTAAGATCTTATAGATTAGGCAGTTATATCATGACGAATCTAAAAATTTAGGATTAGGTCTATTATTAGAGCAGTACTAATATCATAGTAGACCATAGTTCTACAGCCTCACATTCACGATTTGAAAGACACAACTATTTTTTCTGAAATCCATGTTGTTAAAGTATACAACCAAAGACCTATGGTTGCTGTCGACATTCCTAAAACGGCTACCATCACTCCCTTTGGAGTCTACGAAATTTCGCAGATGCGTTCCGACTTAATTAAAGCTGCATAAACTTTCCAGAGACTCATTGACGACGTTTCTTGAGGTCTAAACTTCGTGCATGCGTATGTGAATGACTGCTTGATAGCATGTCCGGTCAGAGAATCCCACCTCCAGCATCCAGACCCTCTCTTCGACACGGCAATAGTGTAGACATACAGAAATGTCAAATTGACACCGACTTTCCACATTTCATCAAACACACTATTGATGCTCAAGGCATCCGACACCTGAAAAACAAAGTAGTTGCCATTCTGATTTACTCAGAGCCCACCATAATCAAGCAACTACACACGTTCAGTGGCCTGTCAATTTTCTGTTGACGGTTCATGCCGAATCACACGTCCCTTATAAAACCTTTAACTGACCAACTTCGTAAAAATGCGAAATTCATCAGCTCGAGCGATATCGTAAAAAAAGCATTCTCCACAATTAAGGAACTTGTCTCCAAAGCAACGCTGCTTTCACATCAGTACTTTGACACACAGATTAGTATCGTAGTAGACTCATTCGACTAGGCAATCAAAGAAATCTTACAACAATGGGTTAACCACACCTGTCAAACATTGCGTTCTTTTCAAAACGGTTGCTAGATATGGAATCGATGTGTAGAACTTTCGGTAGGGAATTCATAGCCATGTAATGTACTGTATGGCAGTTTCAACATTCTGTTGAAGGCCGGGAATTCACTGTTTACACCGATCACAAACCTCCAAACTTCTCTTTAAACTCATCTTCAGAAAAGTACTTCACTCAAGATTCTTAACAACTGGACTACGTTTCGCAGTTTACTTCAGATATACAACACAGTTCTTGAGCAAACATTTTAGTTGTAGACGCGTTGTATCGTATAACTTCCCTGAGCGGTTCTCAAGGAACCGACCTTCTTCTACTCTCACAGCCTCAACAAGAAAATAGTGATCTTCAGCACGAGTAATCTTCCACAACCCTTAAACTCCGTATTGAATAGATGGTGATGGAGATGGAAGCCGCACTATGTGACACATCTATGGGTAGGGACCGTTCAGTCGTGCTGAAACATTATCGACCCATTTACTCCAAAGAGCTTTACAGACTTCATCTATGTGTTCCAGCCATCGTCAAGCCCACCGCAGAAATATTTTCTATCTATACTACACTACTCAGCACCACGCAGTTCCGAACTGTCGTCTACCACCCACAGGGTAACGGTAGTTACTTTCAGCTGAAAACGTATCACAATGAATCGTCGCTCTTCCACTTGTGTTACTTGATACTCGCAGTTCAGCGTATTCCGACACTGGATGCACTTTAAGGCATGATGGTTCGTTTTGCACGACAACTCATGGATTCCTTATCTTTGTCAGTAGGTAAGGTTCTTGACTCTTATATAAACTAGCTAACAAACGCAGTCGATTATTCGAACCCGCCTTAAAACCCCTTGAGTCTACTTACCAAGTATTTTACGAAGCTCTACTTGGCGAATATAAGTACTATGCAGATAATAGAGGCGCAACTAATGACAATATCAATCTGGACTGTTAAAAGCCACTTTCTTAGCAAGAAACTTCTTCCCAATTTATATTATCACTATAAAATCTACGCGGCTGAAATGGGATCCATGATGACTGACGATCTCGATGCAACCTCAGTAGTACCCGATAGTCGACATTAAACAACGAGTTCTGTACAAAATTTGAGATACCCAGTACGAACACAGCTTACAGGAAATTTATTCGGCTTATTCCTCATTACATCCTAATGGGTATGGACTCTCTATTCATTTGTAAAACCCTTATATTAGAGCCCTGATGAACAACTAACTGAAAAGAAATAATTGGTAGTACAACTTCATTTATTCTTTTATATATGGTATTTTGTGCTCTATAGATAATTAGTTGGATAATCAGTTTTTGCTGCTCTGAATATTAAAAAATCAAGAGGTCGGGCCTCATCAATATACTATTACATATGTTTCGCAGGTTGAAATCATGAATCGATTGAAGCTAGACCACCATAAAAAACCTGGAAGCACTGGACGGCCGTTTCGTCCTAGAATGGGACTCCTCAGTATTGCGGGATCGTGGACGCGCACTGCTTCAATCGACTCATGATTTCAACCTGTGAAATTTCTAAAACTATCCACAAAACCAATTCTGGTATTACATATGTGTTTATCTTTTTCATCAAACCTCCAGAAAATCAACCTTTTCGCGTGTAATCTGCTGTCTCCTCGGTTTGCTTGCTCATACAATGACAAGTTTATTTGACATCCACTTATGTAGGATTATGGTCTACTTCGGTATTTGTACTGCTCCAATAATAGACGTAAAACTGCAGATTTATTATGATGTAACTGCCTAATCTAAAGATCTTACGTGAAAGCCACATCTTGTTATATTGTAACAATCATCAATATACGATGGACACATTTGGACTGGAGATAGAACGATATATTTAATATGGCTAAAGATTATTTAACATAAGTATGACCATGTATATGATTCCCATAGGGTTAGCACTGTTTATTGTATTACTTGACCCAATACTAATTAATTTTAAATTAAACTGTAATCAAAGATGTTAGACATTTGTTGAAATACATTAGTATTTCCTACATAAAACATTAAATAGAGTAAAATAAACTTTCGAATTTTGGGAATCAATTCACATTGTTTCATAGTCATATCTTTTATTACTATATTATTGTAGCGGTTTGAAGAACCATGTTCACACCGATTATAAATTCTATGAATCCGTCTGATCCCCAAAAATACAGTCCTACTTCTTTTTTCCTTTCCCTTTTTTTGTCTTCGTTCCTTTTCTCTTCTTTTTCCCATACGGACCAAGATTATGTTGAACGCAAACAGTACGCCACCAATTTTGAATCTAAATCCAAAATAAGGGTTGTTAGTTTAAATACAAGAAATAATCTGAACACTTTCATGTTTAAAATAAAAGTTTTTATGGACTTAATAAAAATAAATTATTATCTGGTGGAAAATACCGATTGGATTCTTTGCAAACATACGGTGCTTCACTCCAGATTTGAACACAAACTAATTAGATTCATTGAATATATAGATGTTTTCATAATGTTCACTCATAATGTCACTCGCTCTGAGTGTGTACAATGAAATCTAAAAGTTTTACTTCTAGACCTATTTTTAAATAATTTCTACTTACTTCCAAGTAAATTCTTAAGAACAGTCCTAGTCACTTAAGAAGATTGATATTTTGAACGTTAAAGCTAACCATAGAATCGTATTTGCTTATTTGTTGCAACTTAATAAAATACATTTTTCCCATGACTTAAAATAGAATGTTACCGTGATAAAACTATTGTTCTTCTTTTGAGTGTATTGAAATGATAAGATATTAATGATTTTGTACTCTTTATTTCTGAAGGTGTTATATACATCTTCAATAGTAATGGATTCATTTACAAGTATTATGACACATATTTCATAAAGCTGTAATTTGGAATAATTTAATGAACGTCTCGTACGTTATTTAGGATAACAATTTTGTTACTAAAAATATTGAATCATAGAAATTATTCAATGATGTCGTTTGGTAAAAGCAGTTTTATACATTTGAGACTTTGAATTACATAGTATTGTTAAATTAGGTCCGATTTGTAGTAAAAGAGGATGATGTAACCCCACTTTATTTCACATTCAACAGATTATTATTATATGGATTTTACATTGTTCCAGTTCAGTGTTGAAATAAACACATTCTTGGTTTGCTTTCAACATCAGTATACAATTCAACTTTTTTAATTTTCATGGTTTATCAAATAAATTAATAAAAATCAATGATAAAAACAATAAAACTTTATCTGAAGATAATTCTTTTCACGAATCGACTGATGATAATTACAAATAAAAGATCTCATAACAGATGTTCTGTTTTCAACAGTATGTTTAAATTAGCTTGTGATATAAATTACCTTCTCACAGAACTAGTTTTTATAAATTATCTTATGAAATAACATGTTTTTGAGTTGATTAAGTGAATGCATGTTTTCTGTTTAAGACAATTTTCGGAAGCAGAAATGTAGATCCTGAAGAAACTATTAATTGCTACTGAACGTAAACACTTGAAGCACCAGATTAAAATAGTATATAAATAATCAGTTGATTATTTAAGTGTGAAGTATTCGAAAATTTAATGATGGAATTGTTTATTCATGAAAAAAGACAATGCATAAATTCCTACAGATCGGTGTTGAAAAGTCAATATTCGGTAATTGAATAATAGTTAAGTCATGAAATCTGATTTTATCCAGTCGATTATACTAAGTCATTAATTATCTAGCAGTATTTCCTAATAACAATTAGGTCTACCATACCAATACAACAAATGAAGAAACATTAATATAAAATAGTATGTGCAGAAAAGTGATTTTTCTACCATCGTGGATGTATAAAATTACTTTTATTAACAACACAAGGTAAAAATGTCATATAAACCAGAAAGTTGAAATAAGATGCTAAAATCTGTAAGCTTTGTTCATAGGATAAGATTTATATCCAGTTACCATAAGCTTACTAGCTGTTGTCTGAGAAGTAAACATAGAAACAACCATCCCAACAGTGCGTTACTTTACATATGGACATTATGAGTTGTTTCAAAGCTTTCGAATGTTAGGCAACTGTGGTATTTTTTTATGAATTAATGATTCCTTTGTGCTTGATGACTGATTGATTTCGAATTCTAAATACAATACCTTTGATTGTGCTCATATAGTTCTTGTTTAAACTTCGTTATTTTTGGGATTTCTAGTTTGTACTATAATTCAAATACTCCTAATTATCACAGAAACCCTACTTTTCTATCTGAAAGTTAATGGATTAACTATATACTAGATTTTTACACATAACTTATGTTCAGAAATATCCAATCTCCCAATTTTGGGGAAAATATGATAGTGAATAGCGAATAAGTCTATGATAAATTAAATTCATTTGAAATAAGCTAAAACATTATCATCATTAATAGAAACCAACGAAGAAAGCTAAGTTTTGAAAATAAATATAAAGACTTTTTACTTAGAAGAAATACACAATATAATTGTCATTAATTTATGAGTAAACTGTATGATACATTAAATTGAAGTAGAATCTATTTATTCGCCAGTCAAACATAAGAACCTATTACAATACACATTGAAATTGTAGCATAAATTTCATAACTTACAATATAAAGAGTTGAAAATAGACTTTGTTAAACTAACTTTACAAGCTGCAAATAATTCTAACTCTTCTTGTTCTTCTCTTTGACGAGCTTTCTCTTTTTCAATTCGATCAGACAGAACTACGGCTTCATATTCTTTATACTATGAAAGAAAGACAAGATAACGCAGTCATAGATTTTTATCAAAACATCTATTTTATCATAGAAAGTTGTAAACTATTAGGTATTCAAATATTCCATATAAGTCGAATAACTTGAAATTGAGATCAAGTATACCTGAAACATAACTAAAAACATTTTTACACATGTTACTGTTGATCAGATCCCTATATAAAAGCTATAAGATTGGTCTTTTACGAAATCCATCTACTTTAGTCTAGGTCCTTTGAAAAACAATTCATGTTACTAGCTATTTCAGAGATCTCTAACAAAATTGTCTACGCCTGTTGACAAATGAATAATAAGCCAACTTCGAAACTAGAGAATCCGAAACGACATTAAATGAATTAGAAAATAATTAAATCGCAAGAACTAGTTATGAATCCTTTCGTTAATAAAAGTGCTACTCTGGTTAGAAAACTGACTACAAGCTGGCTATCTAGACTCTGTAACTAAATGCATAATACGACGGTGTTGGAAGCGAACGGTATGGGTTTAAGTTTCGGAGTGAACATCAATGCTGGGATCCATCTGCATCCAGCTAACGATTCCCGAACAAGACGAAACGCGCGTCCTGGATTCCACCGATAGCCACCATACATCTCTGCTTATGATCCTTTGACTTAATAGTAATGTCGAGACAATCTGAACAGGATCCACATACGCTTAAAAATAGACTGATCATTTACAGTCCTAAACATCAACGGGAAGGTCCAAGCAACTAATGAAAAGGAACTGACTAGGTTTTTCCTTAATCCGTGTTGGATCCATTTAAAGTAAATCAAGAACTTATTGTAGCCTATCACTTTATGTAAAAAATGTATATTACTTCATAATATTAGTTTACGAAGTACTTTATGCAAATTTACAAACATATGAATGGGATATACTAATCGATAAACATTACTTTAATTAATAAAACTATCTTAGGACTTACCAATAAAGATAATTCACTAAGTTTAGTTAAGTTCTTCTCTTTTTTGTCTTTGAGCTCATTTAACTCTTGTTTGAACTGAGTAATATCTTTATCAGACTTTTCTTTCCAGAATTTTTCATGCTGTCGAAAAATAGTTATTCATCAGTTGATTAATAATATTATCTAATTCACCACCGAATTCAGTGACAAAAATTAAGACGGTGGTTTGTTTATATTACATTCTTACAAGGGTTTTATGAGTATAATTTGTAACTACATATAGCAGTGTTTGGGTAAGTTACAAAATTCAGTTTGTCTATTGATCAATGATAAGGAAATAAAGTATGATATTTCAATATATTTGCCGATTTGTATTGTAGCATATTGTCTTTCTTTGAGAAAAAAGACAATATCCACATCGGTAATCTCATGTTTATGTTCTTTGGTTTTGTCGATTTTGGACTGTCTCCTTATTTTTAATCTTGAACAAACAAGACTGAAACCTGAAATCGTAGATGAAAAACACTAATCCAGGTATATTAATGATATCTTTATTCATTGCAATGAAATCAGTCAACCTTTCCATGAACGCTGACATTCTAAATGTTATCACTAAAACTTTAAGTTCACAGTGAAATCTGATCATCAGTCTAATATTTTAGACTATTGTGTATAAAAGAAATGATATAACTATCATGAAAACCATACAGAGAAAATAAACTCAGCCAGACCAAAACATGGCACAAGTCCATGAAGTCACTGACAAGTGGACTGAGTCATGTTGATAGGTGTAGACTACCTGGTTGGGGACCGCGAGATGATAGCAACCGATGGTTAGAGACCCTGAATGACATGGCTCAAAATCGTATGCAATGGCGCAGGTGCATACACTCTTTGTGTTCTCTCAAATTTTGATCTCCTTATTTCTCCTTTTCTCTTTTTTCTCTTTCCAAATTTGTTTCACTGAATTATACTCTTTAAATAACATCTCCAAACCCAAATGTTTCTGATTACTGCTTATACCCTTACTACCTCTACCACTACGGGATTTGTTACGACAACTGCATCTCTGTGCAAATGTGGTGTAGCAACTCGAACTGATGTACGTACGTACGAAGTTCTACGTTGTTACTGACTGACTGATTAATAATTAAAAGGTAGTAGTTTTTATCTTGACCAGACGAAATGTTCATCGACAGAGCTAGAATATTGGCCACAAGAGATAAAATTAACAGAACTTGGAAACACCACATCTTTCATAGAATATCTAGTTCCAAAGGCATTTACTATGAAATTTGGAAGAAATCATCATAAACAACTAAATATCAGCAAACGAACATGTTTTTTATTCGTTTCTCTTTAAGAGAGTTGATATTTCAAGAAAAAATGATAAAAGAATTCGATGTTATTGAAAAGTAGCTTTCTTGAATTTAAAATGATTTCATCATACAACAAGTAATTAGGAAACCATTCAAAAGTAAATCAATGCCCATCCGATATCATCTTGAAATGAACTTAGAAATTTACAGATATATGTGGTACCAAGAGTTCAGAAAGGACTTGGATAAAGGTTTCAACTAGGCTGCCTGAATCCGTTCTTAGAAACTGGTGTCTGAGTGACAAGCAAGTTTTTGCAAATACGATCACTTACTCTCGACAGATAATAGACAATATCAAGATATATCCAAAATATTCAAAACAAAAGTACTCTAATTTTACTCCGCTCTGTATAGGCTATAATGATTCGAAATTCCTGGTCTGAACTATGAATACAAAAGAAAGCTCAATTAGCTTTTCACTGTCATGAGAAAATAGTTTTCAACAAATACTCTTATCCATCACATAATATTATTAGCGTTCATTTGTTTTAGTTCGAACAATGCTGGTGAATTATGCAATCACTTATTCGTTCTGTTATGATTGTTTGATCTCTTAATTTTAATATTATAAACACTAACTAAAGCCTACTAGAATTTTGTCGCAAATCATTTAACTATGAAAATGAAGGAGATAGTTTGACTAATTCTGAATAAAAACATAAAATGTATGTTCACAAAAGTTGTATAACAAATTCGTCGACAGACGTGTCACAAAAAATGGAAGAAAATAGTGCTGGAAGCTAAATTTACTATTCAAGTTTTCTGTTTGTATCGAAGTGAGTTCCATTCAGCCAGTGGTTTCATTGGTATACACTCAATCTCCTAACATCTTTCTATGCATATATATATATATATATATATATATATATATATATATATATATAAAGTTTTTATAGATACCTTTCTTAAGTATGATATACGATCATTTAAGTAAGATGTAATCTCTGCATGAACTCGTTCTTCTGTGTTACGATTTGATTGAACGAAATCTAGTTGATGTTTGATTTCATTTTCTTTTTGATCACATTGACTTTGGAATTCTTCTAATTTTACTGCAGAATAACGTGTTATATATTTTTCTTCCATAATTATTTTAGCTTTCATTTCCTTGAAGTATAGGATAATAATAATAATAATAATAATAATAATAATAATAAGCCTGTTTTGTAAATTGTCCACTTAATGACTGTATTGAGTAACATAATAATTAATTTTCAGATTCATTAAAATAATTGTTAAACAGCTATGAGTTTAGGTTTTATACTTAACATTTTTTAGCAAGAAGTTGGTTACAAACTATACTGAATCTATTATTCATGAAGTCTAAATCTCTCGCTAACAAAGACAAAGATATTAAAGCTTGACTATTTCTGTTGCTTAAATGTTAGCTGTTACATGCTGACTGAATTACGGAAACAGTTCTAGTAGTCATTAAATTATAATTTTTGAAAATAAATTGTGTCCTCTCAAAAGATAAATTGTTTCAATAATGACATAAGTCACTATCAAGTCTAATTACACAAAATGTATCAGATAAGTCCTGTGACCAATTGGTTTATCTTGAAAGTCCTATTAATCTTAATGGGTTGACAACTGACAAAATTTCAATCCTTAAAGAAAAACTTCCCTTGATCCTTCCTAAGTTGCAACACTTATAGTGAACACGAAATAATTATCCACTTATCAAAACAAAGTTACATTAAACGGATGTTCATAAAATCTATTTATCTTTATGAAACAAGGACTTTAAAAACACCGGACATTTGTAGGTTGAAGTTATTTGATCATAAGACTTATTGAATTACTGATAATCAATAGTTTGACTATTATTTACTGTGATCTAAAGTAAACAGATTAACAATAAGACACAAATCGAATTTTAGTTGATCATGTTTTTACTATGTCACTATGTTGAAATGTAATATGACCTGTATATTTTTTCTAAACTCATACTCTTTATTTTCTGTCAGGTAAATTACAATTTATGTTTCTTATCAAATTTGTCACAAAGGTTTTCGGAACTATCATAAGTAGCCTTTAGATCCTAATATTGTTGAATATTTAGTAACGGTTCAATAAATTATGGTGAGTCAGTAGAAAACAGACCGCCATAGAAAACCTGGAAGCACCAGATGGTCGTTTCGTCCTACTGTGGGACTCCTCAGTAGTGCGTATCCACGATCCCTCTCGTGAGATTCGAACCCAGGACCAATCATTTGGATGCCTGCTCAGTGATCTAAACTTTAAGCGTTTGAAACGACTATCCAGTGCTTTCAGGTTTTCTATGATGATCTAGCTTCAACTGACTCATGAATTCAATTATTAAACTACTACAATTTCCACAAAGCCCCTCTCAAATTACGATGTAGCAATATTATTTTGAGCTAATTGTTTTTTTAAAAAAAGCAACACAATAGAATTGTATATAAAAGGTTGATATATTTTCTAATCTCTCACAAAAAAGCATTTTTCAAATAGATAACTACAACATTAAATTTTTTTTAAAAAGTGGAGATAAGATTTACCTGGACTTGATCCTTTAAATATGCTATAGTTTCTTTGCCTTGTTCAATAGTTTTTATACCGTCTTCATTCTTTTCTTGAATCTTATGTCTCATTTCCTTGATTTTCTCACGAGCTTGACGTTCTCTATTTTAAACAACAAATGCAAATTGTTTTTTTTACTTTCGGTTAGAAAAAAAATGTTATGGAGAGAAAGAAACAGAATATCATATACTAATATATCCTGGGAAATCCTTAAAAATGTTGTTTTATTCTAGTTTAGGTTTCAGCTGTAGAGCTTATCCACAACTCGACTGAGATTGAGTCCTGAAACGTCACTTTTGTATTGAAAGCACAATAATTCTAGATCAGTGAATCAAAAGTTTCGTAATCAACTTTAAATTCTTTTTAGCATGTACATTATATATATATATATATATATATATAACAGATAAAAAGATTTTTTGTCAACATTTAAGAACAGGGATTAACTGGTAAGTCTGTCTTTTCATAAATTATCTAAGCGTTTGATCATTTACAACTTATCAGTGTGCATTGAACTGATAGTACGAATGTTATTATTAAATTGTATGTCCTTTTTTATATTCTCTTCATAATATAATATTGATGTACTAGTTGATATTTTTAACATCTATATTTTTATTTTTTTACCTTTGTCTCAGCTAATACTGCAGTATATAGGCACAATTTACTTGGTCATCTTTGTATTTTAATATACTAAGTGAAAATCAAATTATTAAAACAGTATTACTTTAATTATAGTGTCGATTTGATGTACCTGATCCTTCAATATACCAGGAAAAAGTGAATAGCGTTGATATGTGAGTTCTGTATTAGATTAGATCGATAAGATATTTATCTTTCCGTAGAATTTATAAAATAGTTGTACTGAATTAACTTGGCACTCCCATCTATTGTGATATCTTGTAGTTAGTTCTTCCCCTAAAAATATTATTCAACTGAATACACGAGGCCACTTGAACATTTCGAGTCAATATCTAAAACTAAGCCACATGTTATTTACATTATTCAAAAACTAGTTAGCATAAAAATGTCGGTTTATCAAGTAAATACAGAATGGCTGAATGAACAGATGAACTGTTAGGTTGCATCAATACTTAGCGTCTATAGGTTGACAGGTTTTTATTACGAATAAACAAAACTGGACTTTCATAGACAGAATATCTGAAGACAATTCAGTATGTCATAATACAGACGTGATGTAATTACTTATTGAACAGCTGAATTCACCAGCCAATTAAAGCTAGACTACCACGGAAAACCTGGAAGCACTGTACGGTCGTTTCGTCCTGGTATAAAACTTATCGTCAGTGCGCATCAACAATCCCGCCCATAGGATTCGAACCTAGGACCTTTCGATCTCTCACGCGAACACCTTTAGACCTCTGAGCCGGCATCCAACGGTGTCCAACTTCAAACAACCCATGGTGGTCTAGCTTCAAATGACTCATGAACTCAACTATTGAATTGCTATAATATCCGCAAAACCCCTTCCTAATTACTGATTCATTTTAATAAAGTATAGGATGCATTTTATGAGGTGAATATTAGCATTATTATGAAACTTTTATGAGTAAAATGAGCAATTCACTTCTGAGTAACGTAGTTATTATCATTCTTATTATTACAATGTGTCATCATTAGTATTATTTGACCATTCAACAAAAATTTTTAACTCTTACTAACATTTTCATATATTCTGTCACTATTATAAAAGCCTATTTCAACTTAAAATAAACTCAATATTGTTGTTAATTATTCATTTCATAACTCATCTAAAATTTAAATAATGGTCAATAATGATCCAAATATTATTTTATTGGTATCTACTTTATTATATATTGTGAAGTTAATATATTGGTGTGGAGGTATTATAAATAATGTAAGTAAAAAGGAATATTTCCTCGCTCAATAACTTGAACGATAATTGGTGTCATAAATAAAGCATTCATTTAAATAATCAAAGAACTCTGTATATATGTGTAATGAAGAGAATGAAAAATAAATGACAATTAGGAGAGCTACTTCTTGGAACTTTAATTCAATTAGGTCATAATCTATAGTTCATGAATTTAGTTAGGATAACTGTCTTATTTTCTTGATCAAAATCTTCTTTAGGACCTACGAACTAACCAAAATTTATTATTATTTCAACACCAGTCTTGGATTCAATTTTTTGTATCTTAAATGCCCTATTTTTGCATATATCGTACTTTTCTGATTTATTATGCATTGTGGTTCAATTATTTATATATTTAATGATGTACTTTTTGAATAAAATATAACTGAATACATAGGTTTTTGCAACAATCTCTTTTCTTGTTAAATAATAGGTGTTCTCCCAGCAGATCATTATTCAGTGAACAGAATAGTTTTCTGCTTTCAAGGCTAGTAGTCACAAGCCAAACTCATACATCGACATTATTAAGGTCATATTAAGTAGCCTAGCACACTAGGGTCACTAACTAGTTCAGAGACTAATCTCCGTACATATTTTACTACAGAACAACTTGGCAGACCAAAGTCACAATAGTGTGATTATCAGTGTTAGTTTAGACACCTAAATGATTTATTAAATTCAAACCACGAAAAAACAACTGCATTACCGTTGAAAGACAAAACTTCGTATATTTCCACTTTCGGTTCAAATTTAAAAGATGTAGAACTATATGAATTATTTCTAAGTACATATATGAGGTTACCCAATCCTTCGTTAAAAAAGGGACTGACAACTGCGTTACTACTCATTATTGAGTTGTATTGTAACGAAATCTATTATTTCTCACAGTACTTCTTAGTTTTTTTTAATTGTTTTTCGATGTATTTCATTGCTATTACCTAAACCGTGTAATCTGATCAAATAGCTCATTACATGTACCTTAAGCTCCTAACGTATGATCAAAATGATATTTTAGCACTGGCAACACAAAATTTATATTACATTATAAAAATGAATTGACAATTCACATAAGGAATCAAACTGTGCTAGAAAACTACGTGGGTCTTGTAAGATGTAAACCGATGAATAAGATTGTGATAATATAGTTAAACGAATAAAGCGTATTTCCGTATGGCAGCTAAGGAATACTAAATAAGTAAAACAAACTACAGATTTTATGGAAACTGATTCATGCTTAGTCTTTGTCAATAAATACTTATGACCTACCTTTCCAGAATATGTTCTATATCTTTGAATTCTGATTCTTCTTTGTCAACTGATTGTTGCAATGAATCACATGACCCCGTATTTTGAATTTCTTCTGCCAATTTTTCAAGAACATCAATTAAACAAAATCTATCCATTCGAAAAATGATGAGTACCTACATTTCCTTCATTAATTTCTCCATGTACTTTGTGGAAAAGAACGAGTCTTCAACGACTGTCGCAGTCGATGGATACTCCGTAATTTTGGAACTCTTCTGTAGTTCCTTGAGCACCTTCATATGCATATCTTGAAAACTGGCACCTAAATTTCGATAATTAACTTCAAAGTACTGTATTTAAACGAGTATTTTTCCAGTATTTTATTCATTTGTTTAAGAACAAATTCTTCGGCTTCTGAATAATTTAAATTGATTCTCTGTTTCTAAATTTAAATTTGATTACTTAGTAAATGATCCATTATCTGACCTTTTTCCTCATAATGTCAACAACATTTGCTAGTATTTTGAACTCTTTTACTGCATCATGTAGAATGACGCAAAGCGAAAAAGCAGTAGAACTCTCCATAGTTTGTGTACTATTATCTACATTTGATCAAATGTCGTTCACAGTCTAAACAGAATTGTGTCGACAAGGTGTTAACAAAACTGATAAATATCTACTCAATAATTTCAAGAACCTACAATGAAAATAGAAGAAATGTTTTGACGCGCAAACAAAACACATATTTACTTGATTAATCTGCAGCATAAATTCCAAATTTTGGGAAAAATGAAACATGATATCACATGAAAATTTAATACGGCTTATTTTATACGAGATAATTAAGACGAAGTCTTTAATTTAGCTTTTTGGGCCACACATCCAACCTTATTACTTTTCGCATATATTGGGAAACTAAATTATATTTTATGTTGTAAACCTTACAATGTTCACAGAAGTCATTAAATACTAATTATGGAACTATTAGGTACAACATTATGTAAAGCAAAATACGACGTTTCTACAGTCTTGTGTAGCCTAAAACAAATAAACTTAGAGTGTACATAGACTTGTTTGGATCTAAGAATATGTTGCTATTGTTTGAAAGCTCAGAATAACGAATGAAAATCTAAGCCGATGGTTACTTGTTGTAAATGGTATCGCGGTGTACGCTACTTATATTGACAGGAAAACAGAGTGGTTATCCCCACCAAGTCTACTTTCACTATAGTATCAGTTTGTTATATCATGGAAAACTAAGGTTTTTTAGTTTTATGTAGCACTTATGAGTCAGTAAGAACTTAAGTGCTATTAGTTAGACGTACTTAAATAAAGTGATGGCCAGCATTTTTGTACACGAGCTCTAACTCTCGTTGTCCTTTGAGCCCTAGAGACAACCATAATTTGCTGAATGTTGCGGGTTTTTCAACACGCACTGCCTACTGTCAAAAATCAACGGGTCGATTGTCTGTAACAGTGTTGTTTATTGATGTACAGAACGGATAATTTTGGGGGAGAAGCAGTGACTGGATAATACTGGATAATATCCAATACGTCTCCCCATGTGCGTACAACAAATTACAAAGACTTTCACCTATAATTACAGAATTAGGTCTGAAAATATCACGTAGTAATTAACGAAAATTTTATTATGATAAACCAATTTATTTAATTTGCAGTATCTGCAAAATATAGAGAACGATACAATAAATACACTATTTGCCTATCTTTTTAGAATCGTCTACTACAAACTCTTTCGTAATTTTGTTACTGTTGTTATTTTGCTTACTTTTCGTTCTCTTCTCTGTGTCCTTCTCTTCTGTCCGTAGAAATTCTTTTAATTCTAACACATGCTACTTACATCTGTCCGTACAAGTATTAGAAGCCATAATTTATTTATTGTCATACAACCTGACATGAAGTAAGGTTCATAGTCTTTTGTATGTTATTGATCAAACTATCGTGTTTGTGCGAATAATGTACCCAGATAAATTCATTAAGTTTTAGAAAAATTATGACCCTACATAGCAAAATTATGGAGTATAATAACACATGAACGTTAACTCTATTATAGAATCAAAATATCTTTAGAAATTCTGCCAGTCATCGTTATCTGTAAACAAGGGTTAATTTCTCAGTTTTAATAGATTTTTAAATAAAACATGTGATAAAAAAGATGTTTTAATAATTTTAGTATGAAAGCACAAATTACGACATTTTGTCTTATACGTAGCATTTAGTCAAACAGTTCATATCTTGACAGCATCATTAGTAGACAAGTATCACGTTTTCATTGCTTAGGAGTTTTATATGCCAACGCTCGTAGTTTACGAAATAAGTTCTATGAACTAGAAGCACTAGTAGACAGGTTAAAGCCACTCATAGTAGCAGTGACAGAAACTTGGTTAGTCCATGACTTAGACATTACTCCAGAATTATCCGGATACCATTGCATCAGGAGTGATAGACATAGATGTAGAAAAGGAGGCGGCGTCCTGTTATAAATAGCCAATGGCATAAATATCCGCTCCTTTACCAGCGAATCCCATGATCGCGGCACTTGTGAAGTCATTAGCTGTAAGTTGGCAATAGGATGTAGTACATTTATGCTAGGTGTCATCTATCGGAGCCCAATCTGCTTAGCTGATGACTTTGTTTTAGAGAACATTCATCTTTGGAGTGATAATACCAGGTGCTTGATAATAGGAGACTTTAACGCACCTGATATTAATTGGACTGATATGACCACAGAAGGATCTATAAACTCCTTTGATAGTAGGTTACTGATAACAATAATGGAGCATGCACTAGTGCAGCATGTATCCCGACCCACACGTTTTGGTGTTAACCAGGGTTCTTCTCTGCTGGACTTGGTAATCACTCATGAGGCTGAGGATATTGTCGACTTAAATATTCTTCCACCGTTAGTAAACAGCGATCACGCTGTCTTGTCATTCGCGTTTAGAACTAGGGACATGTTATACGATCAGGTTACACCGCGCCCAAATGTATGGAAAGCTAACATATCAGCCATCCAGGAATGCGCTGCTAAGACAGATTGTTTAGTAGATACTAGCATATCAGTTGAAGAAGCATGGTCTGTATTTAAAGGTAAATTTAGACTAGTTACGTCCCCGTTCATACCATACCTGGTACCGCGAAGACCGAATAATAGTCCACCATGGATAACTAAAACGGACAGGAAACTCCTTAGAAAAAGGAAGAAGCACTGGAATATGTTCATCTCTACTGGCTTAGAACAATACAGATCCAGTTATTGTAAGATTAGGAATGCCTGTAAAGCGTTAATAAGCAAGACTAGACATTCATACGAAAAACAATTGGTTAGGGATTCTAGATATAGTCCAAAACGGTTATTCTCGTATATAAAAAGGCGAACTAAGAGAAGCGATGGAATTCCATCACTTTTGATACGAGACAATCCGTTAATCTTAGCAGAGAATGATGCCGAAAAAGCTGAAGCTTTATCGGAATATTTTAGTAAAGTGTTTTCTATCGGTAATGAGGAACGACCAATGATTCATTGTGACCGTGACGGCTCGCTGATGGATCCTGTAGTCATTGAGAAAGATACTGTTTTAAGGCTACTTCAGCATCTGAAACCTGATAAGTCCAGTGGTCCCGATGATATTCATCCTAGGATTATGAAAGCCATATCAGATGAAATCGCTGAATCATTAGCGATACTATTCGACATGTCTCTGAGACAGTCCAGACTTCCTAGAGACTGGAAAGACGCCATAATAAGTCCGGTGTATAGGGCTGGGAGTAGGGATTTAGTTAGTAACTATAGACCCGTTAGCTTAACTAGTGCAGTTGTGAAACTGATGGAGAAAATCATTCGGATACCTGTTATAAACTATGTTGAAGGGCAAAATCTTTTCTCCAGGGCACAACATGGTTTTCGGAAAGGCCTATCTTGCTTGACAAATCTTCTCATTGCACGAGAAGAGTGGGCTGCGGCAAAGGATCAGAATGCTCCTGTGGATGTAATTTTCATAGATCTAAGTAAAGCCTTTGATAAGGTTTCACACTCTGGTCTTAAATTCAAACTGAAACGTTTTGGAATCCATAACACAATCGTCGATTGGATAAGTAACTTTCTCCGTGACAGGAGACAAAGGGTAAGGGTTAATGGGGCTCTCTCCTCGTGGGTACCTGTAAAAATTGGGGTTCCCCAAGGCACAATCCTAGGTCCTCTTCTCTTTTTACTTTATGTAAATGAATTGCCAACTGTAGCAAAATCATCCGTTCTACTCTTCGCTGATGACATAAAGATTTGGAGACCCATACATAGTATGTCGGATAGAATAGTATTACAGGACGATCTTAGCTCATTGGTGGCACGGTTAGACAGGTGGTCACTAGAAGTAAATCTTAATAAGAGTGTAGTGATGCAGTTAAATAACTCTGATGAATCGTATGACTATACACTACGTGGATTCGTGCTACCCAAAGCAAGAAACTATAAAGACTTAGGAGTTATATTAAGAAATGATCTCAAAACGACTAGTCACTGTAAGGCTGCTGCTGCAAAAGGCTATAGGGTATTATGATCAATTCGTAGGTCTTTTCAGTATTTAGATGATGAAATGTTTGGATTACTATACCCGATTTATGTGCGACCACATTTAGAATACGGGATTTAAGCAGCGAGTCCTTGTTTCAAATATGAAGCAGATATGCTAGAAAGAGTCCAACGACGAGCTACTAAGATGGTACAAGGTCTAGCTGGCCTATCTTATGAAGACAGACTGAGACACCTTAACTTATTTCCGTTATCTTACCATAGAGTACGGGGTGATCTAATATTGGCTTATCGTATACTGAATGATGACCTTGGTATTAACATGTCTTATCTTTTGCTTCCGTCTAGAACCGATCATTTGAGAGGACATTCGAAGAAAGTTCAAAAACCTAGATCAAACCGTTTCTCGCACCGAGTAGTGAATTACTGGAATTCCCTACTGGAACACGTAATATCAGCACCGTCTGTTAATATATTCAAAACGAGATTGGACCTCCACAGTATTACAAACTGCAAGGATTAATATAGGTCGACAGACCTCCTATCCTTATTACTGAAGACTGAGTAGACTGACTAAAATGGTTACATCTTCTAACCTTATCGTCTATTTTAAAATGACTCAATCATAAACTTGCTCGTAGTACCGCAAATAATAATTCATTTTTTTATTTACTCAGGGACCAAACATCCCTCAAAGCCATGATCAAAACTTTGAAACGCCAATTAAACAAGTGGTAAGATTTCACTTTTTCAATCGAGATATCTACTTGAACAAGTGGTAACATTCTCATCGATGAAAACTATAGGAACCAAACTAGAATGTTCTGTTTATGTAAAAAAAGATTGGTTTTTTCGTACGTACCTGGACACGCGAACCTGAATTCAGTAAAATACTTAAAAGTTAGTGCAGTAAAACAGACACGCAGCAACATGACACAACTCAATAGTCAACTACGAACTGTCCAACTATTACTAGGACCCATAATGTCTTGAAAATTAACTCAGTAACTTACCTATAAGTTACATAACTTCCATT